TGTCCTCAAAGTGCTGGGTGTGGCTCAAGCCAGTCAAACCCAGTTTACTAGACTACATGCCAAAGACAAAAAATGCAATTTGTCTTATTGTGCCTGCGTGCCATGATAACCTATGTAGTCCATAATGTTTGTATATACTTCCTGTGAGAGACAGTATAAAAGGTTCTGCCTCCCTTTGTTCAGGAAGCTTGATTTGAGGTACACACCTCCTTGCTCCTTGCCTGCAGGATTGCAATAAATGCTCTTCCTCTCTCCTCACCTTGGTGTGTCTTTATTAGCAAGAAGGTACACAACTGGACCTGCTTTGGGTAACATATGTATATACAATAAGAATCACAGAAAGACATGTGATGCAGAAAATATGTCCTATTTAGAGAAGAATATAATCATAAAAATCTGGTGTGATGAAAAAAGGGAGTGGTGGGAGACAGCTGGTGGCGAGAGAGGGCAGGCATAAGCAGAGGTGGCAGCTTAGGTAGCACAGTTAGCAAATTAGTAATTGGTTGAATGCAGGCAGTGTGGTAGGCAGAATAAAGATATCCACTTGTGAATGTTACCATATAGCAAAAAGGACTTTGCAGATGTGATTAAGGACCTTGAAGGTGGGGACTTTAGCCTGGATTATTGAGGTGGGCCCAATTTAATCACCATAAACCCCGTTGCCATTGAGTGGATTCTGACTCATAGTGACTCTATAGGACAGAGTAGAACGGCCCCATAGGGTTTCCAAGGAGTGGCTGGTGGATGGCAACCTTTTTGGTTAGCAACCGAACCCTTAACCACTGCACCACCAGGTCTCCAATTTAATCGCAAGGGTCATTAAAATCAGAGAACTATTCCCAGCTGAGTTCAGAATCAGAGTCAGAGGGTGGATGCAAAGAATGTTCAGAGAGATGCAAAGTTGCTATGAAGACGGGGGAGGGAGGAAGGGAGCATGAACCAAGGAAAGTGGGTGGCCTCTAGAAACCGGTAAAGGCAAGAAAATGAATTCTCCCCTAGAGCCTCCAGAAAGGAACGTGGCCTAACTAACCGAGACTAGTGTCAGACCTCTGAACTGTAGTAATTTGTTTTGCTTTAAGCCATTAGGTTTGTGCTAATTTGTTATGGCAGCTGATAGAAAACTAATATAGAGAGAATCTATGTGAGAGATTGAAGGCTGGAATAGAGTGTGGAGAGGAAGGCTGAGGAGAGGGCCTTGAAGGCCAAAGTGATTATTTCTGCTGAAAAACCAATGGGGTGGGGTGGGAAGTGGGTAGGTGTCAAGCAGAGCTTTAGGAAAAATCACCTGGCAGTGTTGCGCCAGACTATTTAAAGTAGAAGAGGATTGAGGCAGGGGAATCAAGCCTCTGCTTGAAAAGTTGAGTAAAATGGTGACAGGCCTTCAGTTGTGTTGGTAACTATGGGAATGGGAAGAATATAAGATATAAGCATTATTTTGAAGAAATTGGCTACCAGGTCTTAAGGACTCCATGTCGCTGAGGATTAGTTGAGAAAGCCCCAGAGTTTAGAACAGGATGGCTAAAGGACCCAGGGGAGTAGGGCATTTGGTTTCTAGGGGTGGGGTGAGGGATTAGGAATGAGGAATTGGACTCAAACATGTTGAGTTTAGAACAGTGGGTGATCTGAATGGTAATTCTGGCAGGAATTGTAAATAGGTGCTGGCACTTAGGAGAGAGGAAAGTTGGAGATGCAGATCTGATGCTATCCTGCTCGTAGTGGGAGTTGTGCCCTGAGAGTCCATATGGTAGCTGGGGGTTGGTGGGGAGGGGAGGATTGCATTTGTAGAATGGAATTCAAGGGACAAAGGAAGGGGATTAATTTACTAAGCTCCTACAAGTGTGAGGAACTGTGCTGCTTTGAGTGTTCCAATCGCAAGTCAGGGGAATGAGTGTCAGATTTTCCTCACTAAGGCTCTTTCTACCTACTAATTTCTGTCCACTGCATCTTTGTTAAGTGTTATAATATCAATACCCTAAGGTATTAGGGCTGGGAAAGCTTTCCTGAGACTTATTCCACTTGGTCAGACTCCCACTGTGTTCTTGGCTCCCCTTGCTTTTGTGCCCCAAGAATGCATACCTTCTACAGTTACTCTCTCCAATTTTAGCTTGCTTCTCCACAGTATTGACCATTTCTCATTATCCTGAATTACTAACTCATTTTATTCTACAAATGAAACCTGATGCCTCTCTCTTCCTATAGAATAAATTTTCCCTCTGATTGATTCTGTCCTCGCAACAAACTTAATTCTTACAATACTATGGAATAGGTACTGGTAGGAAAGAAGAATATCTGTTTCTCTCTATTGTATAAATCTATTTAGGTGGATGCGATCGAAGTTGTCAGCAAACCTGGAAAGTGAAAAATGGATCCATTATGTTTTAGACTACAAAGGAAGAAATAATTAGGACTATGATTTAATCTCTCCAAGTTGTACAGGTGTTGGGTAGGAATACATTTTTTTTAAAAAATATTTTATTGTGTTTTAGGTGAAAGTTAAAAAGCAAATTAGTTTCCCATTCAACAAATTGTACACAAAGTGTTCCATGACATTGGTTGCAATCTCCACACGGTGTCAACACTTCCCCATTTCTACCCTGTGCTGTTTCCTTTTGTCTGGCTTTCCTATCCCTTCTTGCCTTCTCATCTTTACTTTTGGGCAAATGTTGCCCTTTTGGTCTCTTATAATTGTTCTACGGAGCACATTCTTTTTGGGTGTTATTATCGGCCTGTCTATTGCTTGGCTGGAAGGTGGTTTCTGGGTATGGCTGCAGTTCCAAGTAAGAGAGGTGTCTTAGGGCCATAACCTCAGGGGTTCCTCCAGTCTCTATCAGGTCAGTCTCGTCTTTTTTTTTAAATGAACTTAATTTTTTGTTCTACATTTTTCTCCCGCTCTGTCTGGGACTCTCCATGTGATTCCAGTCAGCGAATTCATGTGCTTTTGATCAGTCTCCTCTATAGAAACTGAAAGGGAAGGTTATTATTAATCAAATGGGCGTAAATACTAAAATAGAATTGTCAGTGAACTTGGAAGGATTCGAAAACTTTGCGCTCTCCACTATTCATTGCTAAGAAGCTCTTCAAAGCAGGATAGCAGTGGAACAGCCATATAACTACAAAGTGTCTTTGTTCTAAGTAAGAATACCTCTTTTAAACAACATGCCTGTGGATCCTGGACCTAATTAGAGTCCTTAGTAGGTATGGATAGGAAATAATAGCTGTTTTCCCTATTGGGTATATAAAGTTACAAATTTAGGCTCCTGAAGGGAAGCCCTGTGGATGTAGGTGCCTCAATTCGTTGAGTGGGATGGAAATGGTGGGAGAGGATTATTTTTAGACCTTATGAAATCTTCATAAAAGCCTTCTTGTGCAAGACAGGCAGAAGGTTTCTATGTTCTGTGTTCTTACTCATCCTGAACACTAAAGGCAATGACTAAGGAGTGGGGTATGGTTCACGAGGTTTTTAGTTTAACGAACAACTCTGATATTACTTATGGATCTTTAATCTGTAAATAGAACTGAAGATCTGCCATGTACACAGCCTACCCCAAAATGTTGAATCTTCATCAAAATAGGATGTACTTTTTTTCTAAGTAATAATCTAGTTGATGTTTTTACTCCCCTGTGTTTCATAATCAGTCATGTTTGTGCTTAGAATGAACAATCCATGAATGGGTAGTCAATCAAGAGGACAAAGAGATGGGTGTAGCTATATATTAATATATGGGCATGCAGATAGTATAAAAAAGCACACTCAAATAATAACCAAAATAGTTTATATTATAAGTTAAAACAATAAAATGCTTTCACATAAAAAAAATAAAACAGCAAATTGTAATGCTCTACCTTCTTAGGAAAGGGACATTAAAAAATGCTATATATTAAGACAATATTTGCATTCCTTATATTTAACAAATTTCCACATCTCACATTTGCTACCCGTAATTTCACCAAGATCTATTTCACTAGTCCTTTGAAATAAAATATTCTACTTCGTAATTGTTATTCTAGAACTGCACTGTTTAATATGGCATGTGGTTATTTTATTTTTTAAAAATGTCACTGTGCTTTAGGTGGAAGTTTACAGCTCAAGTTAGTTTCTCATTCAAAAACACATACACATATTGTTTTGTTGCAATCCCCACAATGTGACAGCATACTCCCTTTTTCCATCCTGGGTTTCCAGTGTCCATTCATCCAGTTCCTGTCCCTTTCTGTTTCCTCATCTTGCTTTTGGGCAGCAGTTGCCCATTTGGTCTCGTATATTTGATTCAGCTAAGAAGCACGGTCCTCACATGTGTTATTGCTTGTTTTATAGGCCTGTCTAATCATGGTCTGAAATGTGGGCTTCCAGAGTGGTTTCAGTTCTGAGTTAGCAGAGTGTCCAGGGGCCATGGTCTCAGGGGCTCCTCCAGTCTCTGTCAGACCAGTAAGTCTGATCTTTTTTCATGAATTTGAATTATGTTTTACATTTTTCTCCTGCTCTGTCCAGGACTCTCTGTAGTGATACCTGTCAGAGTGGTCAGTCGTGGTGGCCAGGCATCATCTAGTTCTTCTGAGCTCAGGCTGTGGAGGCTCTGGTTCATGTGGTCCTTTAGTCCTTTGGGCTAATATTTTCCTTGTGTCTTTGGTTTTCTTCATTCTCCTTTGCTCCAGATGGGATAGGACCAATAGATGTATCTTAGATGGCTGCTTGCAAACTTTTAAGACCCCAGACACTGCTCACCAAAGTAGGATGTAGAACATTTTCTTTATGAACTATGTTATGCCAGTTGACCTAGATGTCCCCGAGAGGCATGTGGTTATTGAATACTTACAATATGGCTAGGCCAAACTGAGATGCTCCAAATGTAAAATATACTCTACATTTTGAAGACTTAGTATAAATAAAAGAAGTAAAACTGATCAGTAAAAATATCAATTTTATATTAATATTTTAGATATATTAGGTAACATAAAACATATTATTGAATTAATTTCACCTGTTTCTTTTTACCTTTTTAAATGTACCTACTAGAAAATTAAAAATTACACATGTGGCTCACATTATATTTCTATTGGACAGCACTGGGCTAGAACATTTAAAAACAAATTGGTATAGCTTTAACTTATCCACAAATTTTGTATGGTATACTCACTATCTGCCTTTGGAAATGGGACCTGTAAAAGAGAAATAACAATCCAGCTATTCTGCATGTCTGTAATTTTTCCAACAGACACATATTTTAAATAGAGAAAGTAAAAATGTTATTGAATTCTGTTTATAATTTTCAAAGGTACCAAAAAGGTAGGATTGCCATTTAAGATATACAGCTTAAATAATATGCCACAGTTTAAATTAAGATTAAAACAATGGATAAATTAAATCCCTCTATTATTTGTGAGAGACATATTTTCACCTTATAATAGATGCAAAAAAGAGACCCTAGAGGAAGGACTGGAGAACTGGGAGAAAACAAGAGAATTCACTGTCTACCTGTACAGAAATGAGAATTCTTGTCTACATTACTGAGGAAGCTCTACCACTCGACCAGCAGTTGATGGGACTGCCCAGCCACTGCGCTCATATTCCACTGTGTGTTTTCATGAAAAACAGGAGCCACTTTTTTGGCACAAAGAAAATTAAGAATATATACTTGGTCACTAATAATGTGACATGCAGTGTAGGAGATTTCCTTTTCTTCCCATTTCTTATCATATGAGTAAGCTATTTTACATACATCTCACTAGTTATAATCATTTGACATAAATGAACTTGCCCATAAATTACTTAAAATGTGATTGGTTAATGATTTTTAGTAAAATATACCACGATGCTTTTTTTTCTCTCATTCGTTAAGGGTAATTTATTTTGAAAGGTTGCTTTTGTATTGTTTGCTTTCTGGCAATAGAAAGGAATACTTATTCTGTAAAGCTCCTGATAGTGGCACAATCCCTTGTATCTTCAGTCCTTTTAATGAGGCCCTATGAAACTAGGCTTTCTAGTAATACTTCGGTGCATTAGCTTCATCTGAAAAAGCAACTGGAACAACAACTCCCTGTCGGTGCAGCTCTCGAAGAACATCTAATATTGAGTCTAATTCCATGCGAAACTTGTCCAGCTCTCGATTCTTTAACTGTGCAAGTCTTTTCCATTTCTCAATTTCTTTGTTTTGCTCAGTTTCTACTACTTGGCGTGTTTGCTGTATTATCTGCAAATCAAAAAATTCCTTATTACTACTACAGTTCATATTTGGGATGAAAAACACTTATTAATCTCAAAGAGCTAAAGTGGACAATGGTGAGTGTGACAAAACTGCAGGTAAGAGGGGAGGAGGAGGAGAAGCCTCACCTGACAGGCTCAGTTTGTTCATCAAACAGGCTTGCAGGCTAAGAAGTGGGAAATTTAGAATCTAAATCTTAGACTGAGTCTTATAGTTTTTTTTTTTTTAAACCATGTGAATAAAAATAATAGTACCATTTAAAAAATCAGAAATTTCTACTACCTTGGTATGAATCTAAACATCCAAAAAAATGTTCCTCTCAAGATAGCAACTGATAAACAATTAAGAAAGTTTTAGTATATACAGAAAAACCTGTGAAAGCTGGAACCTGTGTAAGGCAGAAACCTGTTAGAGAAGGAAAACTCAAATACCTTCCTCTAACAGAGGGCGACAGAAAAGTGGTAAGACTGCACCCTGTCAAAGGCGGAGAACTTGCGAGACCTGGAAAAACAAGATCCGGCTCTCACAGGTTTCACTGTAAAACATCATTAATTAATCATACATCGCAGCATTATAAATAATAATAGTAATAGAAAACGCATATAGAATCCATCATGCACCAGGCCCTGTTATAAACACTTCACATATGTTAACTCACTTAATCCTACTAACACACTAGCAGGTAGGTAGATGCTATGATTTATCCCCATTTAACAGATAAGAAAATGGAGGCACCAAACCCAAAACCCATTGCCATCGAGTAGATTCTGACTCACAGCGACCCTATAGGACAGAGTAAAACTGTCCCATCTTTCCCCTGTGGAGCAGCTGGTAGATTCGAACCAACAATCTTTCAGTTCGCAGCCGAGTGCTTAACTACTGCACCACGAGGGCCCCTTAAATGGGAGGCACAGACAAGTTAAAAAATAATTTTCCCAAAGTTCACACACAGTCAGGCAGAGACAGGATTCACACACCCAGGCAGCCTGGCCCCAAAGTCCCTGCTCTTAACTGCCACCTAGACTGCCTCTCTATGGGGATCAATTTCTTCAACTGTGAAACAAAGTTACCTCGATCAGTAATTTACTGTTCTTTTCAAAATGCCTTACCATAAGGTAACCTTTAGTTACAGGCATTACAAACCATAGAAAGCTATACGTACCAAAACAACTAGTTAAGACAAACCAATAATGTTAAACATGCTGAACCTGCCAAAGATATTTTTCTTTATAATTCTGTCGGGTTATAGAATAACGTCATAATTCAGTACATAAAGTAAAATAAAAGCAATTCAGAAATATCCTGTGCAAAACAAGTGCTAGGTTGAGGAGAATACAAAATGCTGTATGAATTTTCAGTTCTAAGCCCCTTTCATTATATACTGAAATTAACTTGGCATTTTACAATGCTGTATATGAATGAAACTGAGATCCATCGCTTTCTCTATAAATCAAGGACGTCCTGCAAGTCTTACTACTTTCTTGCTTAAGCAAATAAAACGGTCATATTTTATAATCAGGGTCTTTCAATAAATAAAAAAACCAAAAACCCGATGCCATCGAGTCGATTCCGATTCATAGCGACCCTACAGGGCAGGGCAGAACTGTCTCATAGGGTTACCAAGGCTGTAAATCTTTACGGAAACAGAACACCACATCTTTCTCCCACGGAGCAGCTGGTGGGTTCGAACTGCTGATCTTTCGGTTAGCAGCCAAGTGCTTTAACCACTGTGCTACCAGGGCTCCATTTTCAATAAACACACATATATAATTTATTAGTCACATCTGTTTATAACAACTATAAAATAACTATTTGTAATAAGGCCATAATATAGCATGTGCCTATAGCAAGTTAGGATGCAAATCTTAAACACAGTCATTGACAACTTAGAAGTATTTTCTAGAACCGGCATTATAAACAGGCATGTACAGGTAAGCTCTCGTGAAGTGGTGGTACCTATGATGTCTTAACTCTACTATGGTTGATGGTTTCTGGTATAGAATGTCTTTTTCAAAGAATTTCACAAATAAAAGTTTAAGAATGAAAAATCAATGACATTAATCTCTTTGTCCTCAATTTCATAATATTTCTGCGTTCCCATAATGCTAAACAGCTAAAATCCTTAAAATTTTTTTTATTTTTTATTGTGCTTTAGGTGAAAGTTTACAACTCAAGTTAGTTTCTCACACAAAAATTTATACACATATTGTTATGTGACCCAAGTTGCAATCCCTATAATGTGACAGCACACTCCCCCTTTCCACCCCAGGTTTCTTGAGTCCATTCAACCAAGAGCTAGAATCTGGATATGATTAAATAGAGCTGGTGCTTCTCTGTGGAACTCAGGTCAACAGTAAAGCTTTGCAAGTCTGTAATATTTTCACATTTCAGATCGTATATAAACGTACATTGCTCACGCAAGGCTGAATATCAGCATCAAGGCAACAGCCTAGTAACATATGCTCTTACTCCTACCATTTTTAATTTCTATTATTTTTTGCTTGTAATTAACTGTAGTAATTATGATATTACTAGTGCTAGATATATATAATACATGATCACATTTTAACATAAATTTATTTCTTATAAACATTTATTGAAATATGGAACACTGTTCTCAAAGGACAAACGTGTATACATTTTTAGGTTCCATCAATAATTAAGAATACGATACAAGTTGTTTCTTTATTTCTCCAGATAAGAGACAAACCAATCTTTAAGCATTTGAAATTTAAAGTCACTTTCACTTAAAAGCTATAAATGAACAAGATCAAAATACAATGGAGACACTTTAAGAAGTAACTTTTGCTAGAAATGACAAAACCATAGAAAATCAGAGGCAGTAAAAATAAAGCAGTATACAAATATGTAAATGTGGTCTGGTTTTACCTGTTGAAGTTCCTGCTCTCTTTGCTGGTGTCTCATTTCCATCTGTTTAATTTTCTTTTCTAACGCTGTGAAATGTTTCATCTCTGGTGTATGGTTTTCTTTGGCTTCTCTCAATTCTTCTAGGAGTTTTGTAACCTAAAATTGAAGGTATTATGTAAATGAAAAACTAAGCCCAAAATGAAATAATTTTTTAAAGAGGTAGGCTTAAAAAACATTTACTATCTTCTTCATGAAGTTTCTCTAATTAAGAGGCACCTTAAGAGCAAGGGCGTCCTGGGTTGTTACGAGTAACTAATAGCTTTCATTCCCTACGTCCAGGAAGTAAAGGCTCAGCCTAGTTTTCAGTCGACCTCACATTCCAAGAGGTTCTAGATGACTGGACCACTTTTTTCCTCCCATGGATGCCAGGCTGGTTAAGAGGCTCAAAAAGAAGTTGGGGAGGGTATATTTTTGGGCATTTTCTTTGGTGCATTCATTTTTGCTACAAAGTATTTGTTAAGTGATTATATTTAGGAATAAATGACAATGAATTTAAAGCACCCAGCATAGTATAGCATCTAACACACACAAAGAGCTTAATAAATATGGATCCCTCTTCCACCGTCAACTCCCTGTAACTGTTTGTAATTCTCTTATGGTCCTTATCACTTTATGCTTTATAGTAATTCATTCCACAAATGAAAGTTTGTGTACAAAGTAGAGATAATCGAGTTTTGAGCTCTTTTGTGTTGGCTGCTGTCTTAGGTCCTATCTGCTTGATGAGTTTTCCTGGCCACTTTGTTGGGAGGAACAGCTAGTGATTGAGAGCACTTCATCTGGGCAGAACTACATTCTAACTGGGTCTAGCACTGACGAAGATACTGCCCATAGCCTCTTAAGCAGCCATTCCCCGCTTTGCTGGCAGGGCCCTGATACAGTTCAGGTGTTCATGTAACTCAGGGGTAAATTCTGATCAGTCTAACAATACAGCTGTCCAGTTTCCCCTCCCAATGATTGGTTTAGAGGTGGGTATGTGGTTCAGTTCTGATGCAAAGGAACTTAGCTGGGAGATACTATAAACCAAAACCCATTGCCCTCGAGTTGATTCCGGCTCAGAACATGGTAGAACTGCTCAGTAGGGTTTTCAAGGAGCAGCTGGTAGATTTGAACTGCCGACCTTTGGTTAGCAGCTAAACGCCTAACACAGTGCCACATTATAGTCCATATGTATTTGTTTATTTGATTATTTTTCTGTCCCATCCACTAGAATGCAAGCTCCTTGAGGGCAAGGGCTTCGGGTGTTTTATTCATCACTATATCCTCAAAGCCTAGATAAAATAGTGACTGATACTCACTAAGTATTCATTAAATTAAAAAATAAAGAATGCTAGGAAGCAGGTTTTACTGCTTTTATTAGCTGAAAAAACTGAGTCTCAGAGTTCAAAAACACTAGTTGGTATCCTTCTGCATGAGAAATAGGCCTTGGGTTCAGCTAACTTTTTAGCTCTGTTTCTCCCTTGATAAAGACGGAATGTCAGCTGTGATACCAGACACTCTGCTTGTGGTAAAAAGGACTGCTGATTGGTAGACTGCATCTGGGCTTGGAGGACTTTGTATGAACTGAAATACCTGGTGGGAAGCCCTAGTTTTGGGCTATCCTGAGTGCAGTGACTCTTGCAACTGGACATGTCCCTTGCAGGAACCATGGAAACTAAGCACATGGGTTATTATTATAAGAAATACTGCTTTTTGTGGAGCATGGGGCATCTAAGCTAGGTTGGTTCCTCCATCTGCCTGGTGTCTTATTCCCTTACACCTGTGCTGTCACCTCGGGGTCCAAACAGAATAGCTCCTGGACAGCTGTGTGGACTGTTCTGAGGACTATTCCCAATGAAGAGAAATCTCTGTTACAACCTTGTTGGCATGCTGTTTCCTGGCCTGTATCCAGAGTATCAAGTTGTGACCTATGATAGTTGTGTGACTCTAAATGCTTACTTGAACCTGCTGGTGGTCAATGCAGTGGCAAAGTAAGCATTTAAACTTGGATCATTTATTATCATAAATCCCATGACCATTCCACTTTTTGTTCATAAAATAATAGCAGCTAGCTATGGAATATTTGAGATAAGTTATAATAAAGAATTTTGATAATTTTTATGAGTGGGTTGAAATCAGAGACTTTATTAGAGATCAGTCTTCACTGAATGGTTTCTAAAGCCGTCTTTATAAAATACTTAAACAGATTAAAAAAAAAATATACCACCATTTATCAAAAAGAATCTACGATCAGTAAAACACATATATTAACTGTAGAATATGAAAAATAGCATCAATCCTTGCAGTTGTCTCTAGGGAGTCTGAATAAAGATTCAAATTCTTTCTCAACAACTTCAGGCTGCAAGAAAATAAATGAGCAGATGAATGTTGGCGTCAAATTGGACTGGGGAAGAGACTGGAAATCTATGACGAGTGCTAAAAGATGAAAGATTAACTTTTTCATTAGAATATTAAAAAACAAAAGCTTTGAGGAATACATGCTTGAGTTAGTATCAAATGAATGAAGATGCATTCGAGGCTTGATAAGGTTTTCACTCCGTTGCAGTAGGTGGGATTTAAAAGAGCTGTGGTTTAGAGAGATTTTTGGAAACAAAGGCATAGATACAATGCAGAGTAGAGTGAAATCCTCTGAGATTTCCATGATTAACATGCTAAGGTGGAGTTGGTCATTTTTTATGGCTCTATAACTTTTTTAAATATATATATATATTTTACTGTGCTTTAAGTGAAAGTTTATAATTCAAGTCAGTTTCTCATACAAAAATTTATACACATATTGCTATGAAACCCTAGTTGCTCTCCCTATATTCTGATAGCACACTCAACGAGTTCCTGACCCTCTCTGCCTTCTCATCTCGCCTCTGCACAGGAGCTGCCCATTTAGTCTCATGTATCTACTTGAGCTAAGAAGCACACTCTTCACAAGTATCATTTGATGTCCCATAGTCCAGTCTAAACTTTGTCTGAAGAGTTGGCCTCAGGAATGGTTTCAGCTCTGGGCCAACAGAGAGTCCAGGGGCCATGTCTTCCGGGGTCCCTCCAGTCTCAGTCAAACCATTAAGTCTGGTCTTTTTACTAGAATTTGAGTTCTGCACCCCACTTTTCTCCTGCTCTGTCAGTGACTCTCTGTTGTGTTCCCTGTCAGAGTGGTCATTGGTGGTAGCCACCATCTAGTTCTTCTGGTCTCAGGCTGATGGAATCTCTGGTTTATATGGCCCTTTCTGTCTCTTGGGCTAATATTTTCCTTGTATCTTTGGTGTTCTTCATTCTCCTTTATTCCAGGTGGGCTGGGACAAATTGATGTATCTTAGATGGCCACTCACTAGCTTTTAAGACCCCAGACACCACTCACCGAAGTGGGATGCAGAACATTTTCTTAATAAACTTTGTTATGTCAATTGACCTAGATGTACCCTGAAACCATGGTCCCCAGACCCCTGCTCTTGCTACTCTGTCCCTCAAAGTGTTTGGCTGTATTCAGGAAACTTCTTAGCTTTTGGTTTAGTCCAGTTGTGCTGACTTCCCCTGTAGTGTGTGTTTGTCCTTCCCTTCACCTAAGATAATTCTTGTCTACCATCTAGTTAGTGAATACCTCTCTCCCTCCCTCCCCACCCTTGTGACCATCAAAGAATGTTTTCTTCTGGGTGTAAAACTTCTCTTGAGTTCTTATAACAGTGGTCTTATATAATGTTTGTCCTTTTGTGACTGACTAAATTCACTCAGTATAATGTCTTCCAGATTCCTCCATGTTTCTATAAAATTACTTTAAAAACAAAAAAGCAATCAAAAAACAAAACAGAATTCAACACTGCTTTAAATTGATAGTGTGCTTTCACTAGAGGTCATGCTCAAGTAAAACGGACAGTGGTTTACTATCCTATCTTAAACAACTAGAAAACGACACAAAATATATCTTTAGGTTTTGCTAACAGCACCACAGGACTGTAACTCCAGACAAAAGATAAACAAACAAGGTAAGCTCACCATTGCCTAGCTTATTGTCTGGAGGCAGTTTCCAAGCCAAAGGCAGGGAGGGGGAACCTACACAGAGCACTGCAGAATGCTAGAGATCAAAGATCAGCTAGAATATGCAAGGCAGTGTACCGGAGAGGAAGTCTTCAGAGACTTTCAGAGAGGTCCTCTCAAGGCGTTAGCTAAGTACTGATCTACACATCTGTGAGAGGAAACTACCCAAGGCTAGGGGAATAATAAATTGGAAACAGTGGTCTGAACAATTCCCAGGGCTAGGAATACTTTGTGTTCTCACCAGCTAGAGAAGAAATGCATCATAATACACAGGGCATCAGGGAGAGTCCTCAGAAAGATATCACCTTATAGGGCAGATACACTAGCCCTAGACTAAGGCTGGAGCCCTGGTGGCGCAGTGGTTAAGAATCCACCAGCCGCTCCTTGGAAACCCTATGGGGACAGTTCTACTCTGTCCTACAGGGTTGCTGTGAGTTGGAATCAACTTGATGGCAACAGGTAGATTACGACTGCTCTGGAACAACCCTAACAGTGTTTAACAACAAGCTTTAAAAGGATCAAACTGATCCCAAGTAACTTTCCTTGACAGAACAACGCCTAATAATATTTAAAAGAACGACAAAATTCACCCAACAACCTAAAATTCACAATACTCAGCATCCAATAAAAAATTACCAGGCAATTTTAATTAATAAAAAAAGACCCGGAAATGACAGAGATAATGGAATTAACAGAAAAGAATGTTAAAACAGCTATTACAAATATCCTTCATATTCTCAAGAAGGTAGAGATGAACATGGTGAGGACAGAAATGGAACATATAAAAAGGATGCAATTAGAAGTTAAGACAAAATATACAATAACTGAAATGGAAAATACATCAGATGGGATTAACAGCATATTAGACAGGGCAGAAGAAAGGATCAGTGAACTGGAGGATGCAGCAATCTACACTACCTAAAATGAATTATAGAGAAAAAGGCCGGAAGAAAAAAAAATGAAGACTATCAGTGAGCTCAAGTGTTCTAACAAACAACTCTGGAAATGTTACTTGTTCTGAAATTTACTTTATCTGACATTAGTATCATATTGGAGACCCAGAAAAAGAGAAAAGAACAGGAGAACAGAAAAAATGTTTACAGAAATAATGTTCAACAGTTCCCAATTTGATAAAAACTACAAATGCAGGATCTAAGAAGCTCAATAAACCCCAAGCATAAGAAACACAAAATCACATTGAGGTATAAGATAATGAAATTGCTAAAAACTGGTTATAAACAGAAAATCATCTTAAAAGCATCCAGAGAGAAAAAAAAAGATACACAGAGGAATAAGACAAGAATTAGAACAGACTTCTTATCAGAAACTATGAAAGCCAGAAGACAATAAAGTGACATCTTTAAAGCACTGACAAAAACCAAATGAAATCAAAACAAAAAAGCCACAAACTGTCAACCTAAAAGTTCTATGCCTAGTGAAAATTTCTTTCAAAAAAGGTAAAATAAAGATTTTCAGACAAACAAAAGCTGAGACAACTCATCACCAGCAGATCCACACTACAAAAATGTTAAAGGAAGTTGTTGAGACAGAAGAAAAATTATACCAGACAGAAACGTGGATCTACACAAAGGAACAAAGTGCCAGAAGTGGTAAGTATGTGGGTATTTAGAAAAGATACTTTTCTCATTTTTAAATCTCTTTAAAATATTTTAACTATTTAAAGCAAAATAATGACGTACTGTGGGGCTTATAACGTATATGGGAGTAAAATGTATGACAACAATAGCACAAAGGACAGAAAAGGGAAAACAGAAACATACAGTCATAGCTTCATGCATTATATGTGAAGTGGTATAATATTATTGGAAGTACAGACTGGGATAAGTTAAAGATGTACATTGTAAACCCTAAAGCAATCACTAAACAATAAAATAAAAAGGTATGGCTAATAGGCCAATAGTGGAGACAAATTACAATTAAAACAAATTAATCAATAAATACATCAAATATAAATACTTTAAATACTCCAATTAAAAGGGAGATTGTCATTACCTTTATTTAAAAGAGAAAATGCTTTAGTTTTCCAGTTACTAGGCTTAAACACTATCTGATGCAAAATCAAAAAAACCTTAGGATAATAAAAATGGCAAGTTTCCAGAAAGACCTGCTTTCTGTAATGGTATTATTACTGGTGATCCAGTATGACTGTCATGGTTGCTTCACCTATTTCTTAACCAAATTAAGCAGTATTTAGTACTTAATGCAGAAATGGCCTTGCATCCAATTACCTTCTAAAAAAATCAAACAAGAATCAACTGCCCCCTGCCATTTTTGCAGGGAATGGGGAAATACAAACACAACAATTTCCAATTAACATTTGACAGGAAATGCAATTTCCAATTAATATTTGAGTTTCATCTTGGGAAGGCAAATTTTCCATAAATAAGTTATTAATACATGCTTGACATGTGATTGGTATTTTCATGTTATACCTATCTGTGAATTTCTTAAGTTAAAAAATTTATACGAAAATATGAATATGATTGAAATGGCTAAGAAAAGCTTATGTCAGTCTAGATTTCAGTTCTTTCTTACCTCATTCTGTAGGATTTCTTCTCGAACTTGAGAAACTACAAGAGACTCTTGCTTACCCTGCAGCTCATTAACTTGATTTTGGAAATGTTTTATAAGTACCTAGAAAATTAGAAGAACTGAGTTAACAAAACTCTTCCTTTGAAAAAATTTTCCTTATTTCGAAAACATAATAAAGTTAACTCATTGCTTTTATTTGTACTAAAACAAGCAAACAAACAAAAAAAACCACTTGACATTTAAAAATCATCCAAATTCTAATACAGAAATAATTGCCACAGGAAGTAAGTTCATTGAAGGGGTTATTTTAGGTTTCTTCTAACATTTGAAAATATAACGCCACACATATTACATATTTATGACTCTAAAACTACCTGGCCTCTTTATAGTACTTTTCTTCTGACGGTCTGAAAAATATCTTTTTAAATAAACTGCTACAGAGCCTAAGCATTCTGAAGAAAGTGGTCAATATTATCTTCATACTTTGTGATGAAGTAGGATAATAGTTTTTATTAAAGGGCTATTAACTAATATTAATTATGTTGTTTAGGAAGGTAACACAAGCCTAATAATATCTGTGACACAAATGTTAGTCTCCTATTTTTTAGACAGAGACACTGAAATACATAAACATTCCCATCAAGAAAGTACTAGAATTTGGGAAAAATTCAAAGCTGTTACTGTTTTAATGATCAGACAACAATGACTTCAATTTAACTCACAGTTTTACAAAATCACATTTCTAACCCTGGGAAAATAGCATATTTATGGCACTATGACATTATGACTGCTTTCTCAGGTCTCTTAGTCTGCTGTTTACTACATAACCACTTGATCTAACGCTTTCACTGCCCACTGATTCCCCACTCACATGGGGGAAAAAAGCAAGAGAAGTTATCGGTAAGGTTGGATGAATGGTTATTTTGAACAGCATTTTAAATCTTTTTTATTGAGGTATTAAAATATAGTCAAAGTTCTTTTTTGTTCATTTGTTTTCCCCCAACTTTTTATTTTGCAAAGAATAGTAAAATGAATAGACACTCTAGATTCAACAATTATTAACATTTCTTTCTCTTTGTATATACATGTGTATGTATGTGTGTGCATGGTTTTTTTCCCTGAGCTATATGAAATTAAGTTACAGACTTGATGACATTTCATCCTTAAATGTATCTCCTTATAATAAGGGTATTTTCTCACAATATTATTATCAAACTTAAGAAAATTTATAATAATAATTTCCTAATATTTACTAAACCAAAACCAAACCAAACCCATTGCCTTTGAGTTGATTCTGACTCATAGCGACCCTATTCAAACTTCTTCAATTGAGTGATTTGTTTTTAATTAAGATGTTACTAAATAATTATAGGTGGCAGAGGTTGTGGTGAGATAATTTTTTCTTGACGTCCCCCACCTACACCCCCAGCTTATTTTTTTTAACATTAAAACCTACAGAAAAGCTGAAGAGGACAATGAACACTCATATATTATTCAACTTGATTCACCAACTGCTAACATTCTGCCACATTTGCTTGTTTGTTCTTTCCCTTTATTCTTATTCTCTTCTTGGCTATACCACTAAGAAACAAGCTGCAGATAAAGGTTCTATTTAAGTGTTGTTTTCAACCTACTAACCCTACAGAAGATGGACCACACAGTAGATATTTGTATATATTCCAAGTATTCAAGAAAGACACATTTATTCCAGGAAATGCTGATGAGTTATCAACATTCTCAGTAATAATTCTTTGAAGACTGAATGCTTCATGAAGGCTAGAGCTGTGTATCTCTCTCTCTCTCCATTGTTTTATCCCCAGTGCCTGACGCCTGAATCATTATTTGCTTGATGAATGAAAGGTAATGGAACAGGAAGAATGAAGATAATTACTTGCTGGTTGGGGCTGGGGTGGCAGGAGATGGTTCAACATTCAAGTCCAACTACTAAAGTTCCAATCTGCTTAGATATATCCCTCAATCATCTGATATAATCTACTTAGAGAAAAATATACCTGAGAAATGTAGGGATAGAGCTGTACAAACACTTATTTACAGAGTGTAATTTTAAAGCAGAAAAATTAAATATATGGTATGTTCTTCTGTAAAAAAAAGAAGCCAACACTAATTTCCCATTTCTATCACCAACCTGAAAAAGGGAAGTTAAAATTAAACAATGTTCTGTTAATAGTCCTGAAAAAAAAAAGGACCTATATTAAAGTCAAAGAGAGATCAAAACAAATTTTGTCATCTACCTCCTGAGTTGCTATTTTACGATTCAATTCAGCTGCTCTGGAAGAAGAATTTTCTACCGCATTTTGGCAAAGGAGTTTCTCTATTTCTCTCTGATGAGATGCTTTGAGGGATGCGATCTGTGCTGTGGTATCTTCCTTGATCCTATGGAGCAAATGAAAGAAAATCACATATAAAACTGGCTCTTCAACCTCTAACTCAGAGATAGGAAAAAAAAGTGTAGAAGTCTGGAAATCAAAGAAACAAAGGGAGAGAGGGCACCAATATTTACTGCACTGTGCTAAGTACTTTACGCATGATTGCACAGAAGTTCTTACAACTGCTCCATTAGCTTACTATTATTTACTGAATATTATTAGGAACAAGCTTGAGTTTAGAAAAAAGTGATGTATCTAGGGTCCCAAATCAGCAAGATGAGGCACTGGGGTTCAAGCCCAGCAGAACTGGACCTCAAAGCCCAGGCCTTCCACTTTACCCTCTCCCTGGAGCTACACTTTCTAAGAGAATCAAAGGTTCTAAATGTTCTGCTAGATTTAAAGCAAAGTCCATATATATTTTACTTTTTAAGATAAACTCAAATGTCTTGCCCATTGCCCAGATTCTTATTTGGATAATCACAGCTGTTCTCTTTAGAATCATCAGTGCTTTGTATCTAGGCAACACTTAGCACTTTTTGGTCCATGCATATGACTCCAGTTGCATAAAATAATCTTTACAGTAATTGTCATCACACAAGGGTAACCTGCACTTAATTAATTTGGACTTTAAATCTCTGTGACAAAATTTATGCATTCAGAGGTAGTTTAGTAAATGGTAAAATTATAACTAGAGTTAGATGTTTCTTACAAATAAATACTTCCTCTTACTCAGAGCAGATATTCAGTAAAACACTGTTGATACATGTTAATATAGCAATTCCCAAACTATAAACAGATTTTTCAGTTGCTTATTTGACTATATGAATATTTTATTCATGGAAACAGTGTTATTAGGATCTTGGGAAAAGTTTAATGCCTAAAGTACTCATGATATAACTGACCTATAGTAAAAAAGGAGCCCTGGTGATGCAGTGCTTAAGAGCTTGGCTGCTAACCAAAAGGTCGGCAGTTTGAATCCACCAGCCGCTCCTTGGAAAGCCCATGGAGCAGTTCTACACTGTTCTATAGGGTTGCTATCAGTCGGAATTGACTTGGCAGCAATGGGTTTGGGTTTTGGTTTTGTAGTAAAAAAGCAGCCTAAATCTGGACCAGGAAAGTTTAGTCCTTACTTCTTAGGCCCAGAGCAATGTGGGAAACAGATAAACAATACAAGAAAATTTTAAATTATATACAGGAAAATTTATAGAAAACCAAAAAGTTTATTTACAGGAAAGAACAGAATTCTTTCTAAATAGCTTCATTACTGCTATTGTATTCAGGGCTGAAAAACAAGATACCAACTTGAAAGCAATCTGGCTGTCTTGATGACTCAATCCCCGACACGGCTGAAAGTTATTTGTTAGGTGCTTCCTAGGCTCATTCTGCTCCTATATCAGGTTGCTGGGGGGATGCAGAAGAAGTATAATCTTACATCAGTTCTCAAGCAGCCAAGGTGGTGTATGATTTGTGCTTACTGAGAACATATTTTAAGTTGTATATGAATTGGAGGTGGGAGTAGGCAATTTCCTGGAAAGCTCCAGGAAATGTTTTGTGGCAGAGGTAGGAGGTGAAACATGAACAGAAAGGTAGTGAGAAAATGATGCAGCTTATGTGTGTAGTGTGGTATTAGAAGGGTGATGGGACTTGAAATGCCAGGTAGAGAAATTTGGTCCAGATACTGTGAGAAATTTGGGAGTGAGTGGAGGGCAGAGTGACACAGATGGTTTTTAAGAATGATGATTGGGAAAGGTAGGAATTAAAGTCAGGGAGATCAGGAAAGGTATGTAGTAAACCAGGTAGGCAGCACTGGTTTACTACCAATAAGGCTGAAAGCAAAATGAGAACCATTTTTAAGGAAGCATGTACTGGCTGCGAACTCACAAAATAAAGGAAGTAAAGCTGGGCGTGGCAATCAGAAAAATATAGTCACAGAATGGGGAGGTTGGGAGAGGGAGCTAGTTTAGGGGTAAAAATGAATAAAACTTGAGGTACTGTTGATTTTAAGAGGTAAAATCCAATAAATAGTTGAAGGTCTAACATCTGAGCTCAGGGAAAACAACAAGCCTTGAAAAGTAAATTTTGGAGTCATGGGTCATAGAAGCTGTAAGAATGGATGAGTTTTCCAATGGAGAAAGAACAGAGAAAAAACAGAAAGCCAAGACTTGAACCTTAGTAGAAAGCCAGATTTTTAGGGTGGGAGAATGAAGAAGAGCCAGTAAAAGAAACAGAAATGTTTTGGTTGGAGCTGTCAAGTCATGGAGGTTAAGGGAGCGAATCATTTCAGGAAGGGCAATGTAGTCAACACTGTAAAGGAAAATGAGGATGAAGGAACCTGCTGGACTGGGAAAGGCTATTACTAAGAGACAGGTCTGTAACAGCGGTGAGTATGAAAGCTATATTCAGGAGGAAGTGAGGTGGAAATAAAAGAAGAGGCTATTTGTGGAAAACTGGCACTGAAAAATGGAAAGAGGACTAGAACTTGGTTTGGTCAAGTTAAAGAAAAGGCCTGAGGATGTCAGAAGGCTCAGAGGAAAAAAGACAGTGGAGAGTAGCTGGAGACTCTGAGAAGGAAAGGCATGAAGGGATGTGATCACAAGACCAGTCTGAAGTTATTCTGGAAAAGAGAAGGACCTTTTTCTCTTAGACTGTTGCCTAGTTTTACTAATAGCTGTTAACTGACAGCAATTTCCCTAGGTACCTGGATTAAAGCTTACTATAGAAATTCTCAGATGATGACATTCTTTTGTAAGAAAGACTCAATGAGTGAGTTTATTAACACCATTTGGGTACATCCAGAAAGGCAGGGCTGACTGGCCAGAAATGGAGTTTCAAGTTCATCAGAGTCTGAGCTGCCAGCAGGTAGAGGACCTTACCCTGAAACAGATCTATCTATACCTGGCAATGTAATGCAATTTCTGAAAATTCAGTCATGAATGAGTTCAGGGTCAAACTAACTATCCAGAGGGAGTATATCTTATAATTTTTCAATTTCTATCTTTTTATGACCCTGTATTTTTACAAATAATTTAACATTTTACCTTTTCATGGAGTTTTCAAATTGATTTGATGCTGCTTCAGATTTCATCTTCAGCTCATTCCTCTCCAAAATTACTCTCTGTAGCTCATTTTTCAATCTAAAGTTTTCTTGTAAAACCTCTGACGTATGGGTATCAGTAAAAGTGTGTGGTTGGTAAAGCTTGCTATCCAGGGTTCCAGAGGAGTTAGCATTGCCTTTACCTGTGTGCAAAACATCTTTCTTCACCTTTCTGGTAGACATTTCCTCTCTACCCTTAGAGTTCTGATTAGATAGCATCATTCTTCTCTCCTTCTGAAGCCTCTCCACAGTTTTCGAAAGATCTTCTATTTCTCTCGCTTTTGCAGCCAGTTCCTCGTTGAGCCTTACCAGCTTAGCTTTAGCATGAGCCTGTTCCACCTGGAATTCTAGAGACTGGAAATCTTTATCATCTTTATTATTCTTCTTGAGTTCTAATTCAGCATTCTGATGTTTAAGAATGTCTATTTCAGCTTCAAGGTTTCTGACAGTAATCTGATGGGCTTCCTTAACGTCGCTGAGTTCCTTTTCTAGTGCTTTAACCACAGAGTTGTCACGTTGGTTCTGGGGTGCTTCCTTCAACTTGCAGGCAAGTAGCTGCTCCTGTTCTTCTAGTCTCTGTTCATACTGAATCTGAAGAAAAGAATCCATGTAATGCCAAACCACTGATAAACATTTCATTAGTTACTGAAGCTCTGAATTCTACAGGGTCCTACCTGTTCTTTCATTCACACACTCATTATACACTCTGATGCCTCCAACTCTCTGTGTTCCTTGAGTCAGTCAAATGTACTGAAGTCCTACTCTTTGAAGAGCATAACATTATATATTGTTGATGTTATATAATTTCATAATTGATATGCTGCTACATAAATGCTAAATTACATGTTCTCATAGACTCCCAGCATTATTTTAAAACTCACAATAAAACATATTATTATGCACCTTTTTCTATGCAAATTGGCAAACTACATTCATTGAGGACAGACAGGTAAAACAACTGTGGGTATTGAGGTCTTTGAGAAACACATTTCATCTTTCTAACATCAATCTAGTCATTTCACAGGGAGCAAGTCAGCTTGGAATCTGCACACTGGAGTCTCAGTATTACAAAAAAATAACTCAGTTTACTCTGTCAAGGAAGGCGCCGATAGTGTTTGTTCATTTGTTTATTTATTCAATGAATATTTATTGAGTTATAACTGTCTGTCAGGCACTGTGCTACGTTCCAGAGATGAAAGGACTCAGTTCTTGTCTTCAAATAGCTCACAGCCTGCTTAGGAGAGAGACATGGCAACATTTACAATGTGCTGTAATTGTGATGATGGGCCTATGAACATGGTGAGTGGGTGCAGAGGGGGTGGGGCACCCTGAGTGTCTGGAGGCCTGAAGGGAGGCAAGAAGGCTGTAAAAAGACAGCATGCTTAAGTTCAGGCTTGAGGGATGAGTGTAAATTTGGGGATACATGGAGGCAGGGATGTTTCAGAAGTAGGAAGAACATGTATGAAGGTGTTCTAATGCTTGCAGTGTCTGGGAATCAAATGAAAGGTGGAAGTGGAAGGAAATGGGTTGGGGGGACAAGTGAGGAGTGGGATGGGGCAGAGGGGTTGCAAAAAGGAAAAAGATAGGATGGACAGATCTAAATACATAAAAAATGTTGTAGGGGTTGAAGTTCATGCCTGAGAGCCTCTATTTGGTCAGTGAATAATAATCATCATCATAATTACTACAAATAATCATTCATCGAGTGTTTGGTACACTCCAGGCATGGTAATAAGGTACAGGCATGGTACGTACATATATGCTGCTACTCAATCCTCCCAATATCCTGAGTTGGGGATTAACTAATTAAACTATTTATTGAGCATCTTCTCTGTGCCAGGTACTACGCTGAATGACAGAATACAACAGTGAGTAAAACCAGAACAGTCCCTACCATCAGAGTCCAAGGTTAGATGGAGAGAGAAAAACCACTAATGATCCAATCAGAATGTCTGTAAACGTGGTGGATGCTATGAAGGAGAGGTGCATGAAGCCAATTCATCTACCAGGTAGTCCTGGAAGGTTTCACTGGCGAAGCGATGCTTATGTTGAGTTGTGAAGGATGGAAACACCTTAACTATGTGAAAGGGGAGGCAGAGCACACCTGTCAGAAGCAAGAGGGTACACAAATTTCTGTGGTTGTAGGAAACATGGCAAGCAGGAGAAACAGGCCAGTAATGCCTGGACAGAGGAAGCATGGTGGGAGAAAATGCTGGAGTGGGGGGCCTGGCCATCCATGGATTTATAGCCTATTTATTTATTCTAAGAGCAATAGGAGTTACCAAAGGGGTATAAACAAAGGGATATGTGTGTATGTGTGTATGCGAGAGAGATAAGAAAATATAACGTTGGCTGCAGTGTCAAGAGCTGATTAGAGGATGGGGTAAACTAGGTATATGTAGACTTATTAGGAGGTTACTGCAGTAATCCAGCAATCCAGGCCAGGTATTAATTGATGGTAGTATAGTCATGTGGTGTTGAAAAGAAAAAGGGATTGACAGATATTTAGGAATATAAGTGGCATATGGGTAATGAGTCAGTTATTATTATCTCTCTTTTACACATGGGGAAACTGAGGCTCAGGGAGGTTACGTAACTAACCCAAAGTCATGAAGCTATAATGGTAGACTGCAGGTTGGTCTGACTCTAAAGTCTGTGTGCCTTTCCATTATGCTACAATCTCCTATATACAGGGAGCAGGGTCTGCTGAAAGCAAAATGTGGGGGCAGGGGTGGGGGCTAGATGAACTTGAAGGTTGGGGGTGAATGAATGGAAGGAGGAGCTGATCAACCACATGCAGTAGGCTTGCCAAGAAGCAATGAGAGAATTTGTGAGACAGCAGCCGTGCCATCTTCTTCAGAAAGGACAGAGAAGCATGAGTGGAGGGCTGGAGAAGCAGATGGGTGAACTGAGGCCAAGAGTGAGGAAGTTCAGGGTGGTTGAAAACTGGCTGATAAAAGTACACCTTGGAATTTGGGATAGTGAGAAAATGAACCAAGTAGAGGTTAGGGAATTTGAGAAAGAGGGTGGAGTAAGGGATGTTTTACTCTGCCATTTTGTGACTTAATATCCACTATTTCTAATATCATTGTTATATAAAGATTATCCTGTACTTGACTATTTTGTGTCTGAATTAAAAAGTTGCTGAAGGATGGCACAAAGATAGGATGGACCAACATTTCTTTTGCATCTCTTGATACCTGTGGTAAAGGTTTTGTGGAAAAGGATGTTTAGAGCTATTTGTTAAAATGAGATCTTAGGACTCCCCGTTCTGACCAATTTTAATCATGTGGTTCCTATCTGAACCCCACCTTCACAGCTACATTTACCTTCATTTTCTGAAACTGTTGTTCCATGGTACGAAGGCTTTTCTTCGCTTCTTCATCTTTGCCCTCAAGATCAGCTTCTAGCTTTTTAATCCTTTTTTCCATAAATTCCACCGTATTTCTATTTACTGTGTCACCTGCAGCTGATGCAGCCAATATTAAAGCAGGTAAAGAATTGGGATATCTTCTCTTTAGAATTCCTTCCATTTCCTTCACCTATTAAAAATATTTTTGTATACGTGTAAAGTCACAGCTATATGTAAAATTAAATAGCTTACTGTATAAATTTAGCTTATGTTCCATCAATCACATCTAGATTTATGTTTATATCATGATTCCTGCCTGAATCAAATGTACAGAAGCACAAATTAATTTCAAAGTTTATATTCCATTGTTGTTGGGTGCCATCGAGTTGTTTCCCGCTCACAGCAGCCCTATGTACAACAGAACGAAAACACTGCTCAGTCCTGTACCATCCTCACAATTGTCGCTATGTTTGAGCCCCCTGTTGCAGACACTGTGTCAGTCCATCTTGTTGAGGGTCTTCCTCTTTTTGCTGACCCTCTATTTTACCAAGCATGATGTCCTTCTCCAGGGACTGGTCCCTCCTGGTAAGTTCAAAGTAAGTGAGACTAAGTCTCACCTATTTTATCTAATTAATAGTACCCCTATAGTTCTATCTAAGTAGCTGCTGGTTAATTTACAGAAATCCTCTGCATTCATTTGAAATAGATCTTGGAACTTTCTATTATATTAGTAATAATCAGTCTTCTTTTTTCCACAGACCCCTCATATGATAATGCTTGCACTAATGATTGAAAAATCACTTACATGCACATGAATTTGAAAATTTTTGAAATAAACATACAGCTTCCTAAGCACCAACCCTGTAACAATCCCCATCCCCACGTTCCAAATGAAGTTTAATCTATTTTAAAATGGTGTACTTCAACTGGGAAGCAAGGAGGATTAGACGACATTTAGTGAAGTCTTTATAAAAGACTAAATAATACTTTTCATTTAGTCTATAAAACAGGAAAGGTAGGATAAGGGAGTGACTGCTAATGGTTATACCATTTCTTTTGGGGGTTATGAACATGTTCTGGAATTAGATAGTGATGATGGTTGTACTTTGTAAATATACTAAAAACCACTGAATCCTATACTTTAAAGGGTGAATTTTATGGCATGTGAATTATATTTCTATAAAAAAGTATAAGCAAAAGATGAAGGTAAAATAAAGACATTTTCAAAAAACAAAAATAAAAACACATAATCAAAAAATTTTACTGGGGAAGAAACTGAGTGGACAAGCATGCTTTAAGCTATGTGCTTTTTTTTTTTTTGCCTTCTGCATCAATTTTAAAGAAATTCCAGGTTCTTCCATATATGTTACACTCCTCCATACACAATGATTAATTACATATTATGAAAGCATAATGTTAATAAACGTTTTGAGATTAAACAAAACAAAACAAAATAGATTTAAAATCCACAGTGAATGTTAAAACCTAAAATAGACTATATTTGTAGGGATAATTAAATGCAAGGGTACAACCCTTACTTATAATGTATCATTGCTTATTATAAAACTTTCTGAATAAATTTACTCATTGTAATTCCTGAGATTGGTCACTGAGGATGAATTTATGTTTTTTAGTATGAAGAATGAATCTAAAATCCCTGTGTTTAATTCCAGGTTCATGCCCACAATTTTTCTCATATTTTACAGCAATTCTCGACAACTTATTTAATAAGTAAAATATGAATTAACTGTACTGTTTGACTTCTCATTGTATACCTGCTTTTGATAAAAGTGTTATGGTTAAGATATCTTTGAAAAACATATATTAAAATGCTAAATTCTTAAACAGTTTTCTAGTGTGAGCATGCAATAAAATAGCACCTGAGAGGTAGTCTGGTGCAGTGGGTAAAAGCATGTTTGGAGTTTGATTCTGCCACCGGCTTTATAACCCTGTATCAACTCCTCCATCTAAATCTCTTGCTTCATTGGTAAAACGGGGATGATAACAGTACCAGTGTAATGGGGTTGGTACAAATAACGTTCATATTGGGAAAGCGCTTAGTAGAGTGCCCAGCATATAGTGAGGGATCCATAAATGTTGGCTTTTATTATGATCTGGTCTCAAAAACTACCTTTCCCAAGGACAATGGCTTGCTGGTACTCAAAATCTTCTTTAAGATTGAATACTGTTCATATGAGGTATTTAAGGGTCATGTCATTTGTAAAATTAACAGTAAATATTTCCATTCATGAAGTTTGCTTGCACATTTATAGATGTGCCATAAATTGGGATATATCCAGATACAAATACTAACAATTTATTTTATCAAGAAATTTTTGAAAGCTTTGTTTCTTCTGGTATTAAAACTTAGTTGTGACTTAGTTGTTAGTATATTAAGGTACACACATACACACAAACACACATATTAAAGAGAACTGGATTAAAAAATGAATTCATTTAAAAAACTTTACACTTAATGTACATTATTTTCAATTTAATTTTGATATCTTGAGATGCATATTATATATTTTTTAAAATTAATTTGTATCTTCTTTAATTTTGCTTTTTAATATTATTCTTTGGTCAATGATATCAACTGGCTGGTATACAAAAATAAATGTTTTTTAACTTTCATTGGAAATTAAAATATGAAATATTTCTTTAAAGAAAAGTATGAACAAATGTATATAATCTGAAATTTTCATTATAACATGAGTCTAATTAGCCCCATTTTCACTTACGTTCTATTTAGCAAAGGAGATATTTTATTCTATAATTAGTTATTTCAGAATATGGCTCCAATATGATTATAATGATATTATAAAATATACATTAGTTAAGGTTTAAAATTAATTAGAATAGAAATACTCATGGAAACAGAATTAATAAGATCAGCAAGCAATTATAAAAAATACTATTAAATGATGAATAATACTTTAGAAAGACATAATCTAAGATGATAAACCAATAAATGTTCAAATGTTTAATGAAATGTTAATAAACGAGGGAGGCTACTTTTAGAAACATTATAATTTCTGGTCAATATGCATCACCATTTTTGAGTCTTAACTTTGCTATTAAGCATGCTTTACTTTTTTTACTCTTCTATATTCAGTTTCTCATGATTTCTCTTAAAATAATGTCGTCTAATAGGGGAAGTTGTCCAGTTGGCCTTTTCTTACCTAACTATTCTGGATGGTTTAGCCTACAATGGCTAATCTAAATCTGAAGCACTGAAGAAACGCCAAGCAGTTGTGGACTGCCCTAACTTCAAAATATTTCTAGCTCTTTATACCACCTTTGGCCTGTTTTATCCTGGTGACTGAACCAAACTACCAAATCCTACCTTATAATGTAAGAACAGGTCCTGCAAAAGTAACAATTCTTTTGCTTAGTTTTCCTTCTTCTCATAAAACTAGGGTAATAGCCCAGTGATGACCTCACAGTTCTGGCTTTGTGATGGAATAATAGCAGTATTTTGAAGTGTCGTAACTTGACTATAGAAACACGCTCCCTTGTAAAGAGAGATGGAAATCTTTTGTTTTACTATTTAGTTATGAATACAGATTCTACCTTAGAAAAAGCTTTAAAAATAGAAGAAAAAATTAATTATAATTCCATCCCCCAAAACAACTACTTTAATGAAAAAATCTTCATTCTAATAGGCTTCACTATGTGATTTTAGAAAAAGATCCCCTAGTCTCACTGGCTGTGAAATGAATATTTCCAAGCCTGAACAAAAATAAGAATTCAAGATTATGGCCAGCTTTTTGGGGGTGAATGTTCTGTTTATAGGGGGTGTTTTGTTTTGTAACATTTCTCAAGCATTACCAATATTTTCCCACATCAAGGATCTCCTTTCCTGTACTCCCTCTCTCATCTATCTTTAGTCAGGAGAAGGAATCCTGACTCTATACCTAAAGCTTCCAGAAGTTTGCTTTCTTCTTCCTAGATGTCTATAATAGAGCTGGGATGCACAATAACCTTTCATCAATAGCTCTACCATCCTATATACGAAGCACATTAGTCTAAAAATTCTTTACATATAAAGGCACAGGTTATATAAAATGATTTTGTTTACTACTTTTATTAATGCTATTTCAAATACTGTATATCAAGTATATTTAAAAAAGGGGCAGTTACGCATTAAAATCAGGGCTTCTAACTGGTTCATTCTGGTTCAAACCCCTGCTGTGAATTTGCATTTCCATCCCAAAACCAAACCAAACCAAACCAAACCCACTACCTTCGAGTCAATTCTGACTCACAGCGACCCTGTACGGTTTCAGAGGCTGTAAATCTCTACGACGCAGACTGCCACATCTTTCTCCTGAGGAGCCGCTGGTGGTTTCGAACCACTGACCTTTCAGTTAGCAGTCTGGCGCTTTAACCATTGCATCACCAGGGCTCGTCATTTCCACCCCAGATATACTGAATCAGAATCTACCGTTTAACAAGATCCCCAGGTGATTCTTATGAATAATAACTTTTGAGAACCACTGCTCTACTAGCTGTTCTCAAAATTGGTCCCTAACCAGCAGCATTAGCATTGCCTGGGAACTTGTTAGAAATGAAAATCTCAGCAGGGGTTTGAACTACAACGAACCGGTTGATTAAAATACATGAATAACAACAAGAATTTCTAGGTTGACTACATATTATGGGAACTCCTGAGAAAATAAAAGTTCACTGTATATAAAATATCTTAATAAAAATTTACTCTTAATACATACTTGTCGTTCCAGATCCTGAATTTTTTTAGCATCAACTGCTCTATCTTTTAAACGTATCTTCTGCTGCACAGATGGATTTCCAGATTCAGCTTTCAGTTTCTCAATCTGTCAATAAATAAAGACCATGTTAAGAAGCATATCTAAAACATACCACAAAAGCACAGGTGGGGGGCAGAATAATGTTAGTTGACTGATTATTTATTAATTCCTCAACACTCCTTTACTAAGCTCAGTGGTTAAGAGCGAGTCTGCTAACCAAAGGTTGGCACTTCGAATCCACCATCTGCTCCTTGGAAACCTTATGGGGCAGTTCTACCCTGTCCCATAGGGTCGCTGTGAGTCACAATTGACTCAATGGCAGCAGGTTTGGTTTGGCTACCATGTTCTAGGCACTTCCCAGATATGGCACTGTGGTGAAGACAGGGAGGGCAAATAAGACACATTAGGTCTCTGCTCTCATGGCACACTGTAATGGAGGGAGGCAGCTGATAAGCTATTAAGTAAATCAGTAAGTAAATGAAACAACATCAGAGAGTGCTATGAAGAAAATAAAACAGAGTGAAGGGATAGGAAGAAAGAGCTGGAGTGGGTGGGATTGGCAGTTACACTACATAACGTGGTCAGGAAAGGCCTGACTCCTGGGGAGTAGAAATTTGAGCTTGAACTTGAACAAGGAGGAGGATTAAAACATAGTAAGAACCAAGGCTAGAATGTTCCAGGCCAAGAGAATAAGTGCAAGAAGGCTGGCAGGTTCAAGAACCTGAGGGAAGTTTGGTGTGGCTGGAAGAGAGTGCCTTGGGGAGAGTGTGGTACCAGAGGAGGCTGGAGAGGCAGGCAGAGTTCAGACCACATGGGGACCTGACCTGACAGGCTGTGATAAGAGGCGTGGATTTATTCTCAGTCTAATCAAATAGATTATCTAGAAGTAAACCAAACCAAAATCAAAACCCAAACACAAACCAGTTATTTTAATTACAGTATAAAACTGTGAAAGCTGGAATCTATGCAAGGCGGAAACCTGTCAGAGAAGGAAAACTCAAATATTTTCCACTAATAGAGAGTGATAGAAAAGCGGTAAGACTGCACCCTGTCAAAGACAGAAAACTTTGGAGACTGGAAAAACAAGGCAGTCCTGTTGAATTCAGGCTCTCACGGTTTCATTGTAGTAGAGTTTAGAGTATTGATGCTGTGACACTTACAAGGCTATGCAGGCTGATAAGCGGGGACAGTAGGGTTCATCTACAGAAACACATTCTGAAATAATATACCTCAAGTTTCAGCTTCTCAATTTGTTCATTTGCTTCTTTAAGCCGAGCTGCATCTTTGTCTAGAAGTTCCTGGTTTTCAGCATACCATTGTAATCTTTTTTGTAGACGACTGATTTCTTGTTTATGTGTTTCTTCTAAAATTTTTATTTCATATAATTTTTCACCTATAAGATAAAGTAACTCAATAACCTGATTGTGATTTTTCAAACTATGGATATCAACTAAATTTTAAGACTCTAAATGAAAACCAATGCCTACATAATGGAAGTATTATGAAAAAAAGAGGTATAAAACAACTGATGTATACAATGCAGTGTCTAGTTTATTACTAAAGAAAAACAAGAGACTGTGTTCATAATCTACATTCTCAAACTCACAGCAAAGTTGGCTTAAAGAAAATTTTGATATTGTTTTCCCACTGACTTTCATTATAAAAGTTGTTTCTACTGGAAAACAAGTGTTGGAGTCAAGAGATAATAATAAAAATATAAGAATGCCTATTATTATATTAAAAAGTAACAATGGCAAACATTAGTGAATGCTTAGTATGTATTATTTTATTTAACACTACAGACTTTTATGATGGAGCCCTGGTGGCGCAGTGGTTAAGAGCTCGGCAGCCAACCAACAGGTTGGTTGTTTGAATCCACCAGCTGCAACTTGGAAATCCTATAGGGCAGTTCTACTCTGTCCAATAGGGTCGCTATGAGTCAGAATTGACTCTATGGCAATGGGTTTGGTTTGATTTGGCTTCCTCTCATGTTTGACTATAATTTTTTTCTTATATTAAAGTATCTGCATTGTTGTCTCATTCTCCTTGTTTTTCCTGGCAGAGACCAGGCCATATTAATCTCAATGTTCTGTACAAAACATTGTGGAGTGCCATCTGTTCATTTAGCAAACACTTGAGAGCCTAGAACATTTCAGACCCAGGGATAAAGAGACAGACCTTGTCCCCAGGAAGGTCAGACTCTAACTGGGAAGAAGACATGTAAACTACTAAACCTAAAATTCCATGAATTCAAAGTAATTTTCTTTGGTCATGTTATACTTCCTGCAAAAACCAATCAAGTATACATACTTGTTAATTACTTGATTTTTTAAATATTTCTAAGATTACAATGTACTGCAAGGAATAGTATTCAGTTTCTACCAATTAAATTCAAGATTAGAACAGTTATGAGCAAAATGGTAAAATGTTTCAACTCTGTGTTTTACCTGTAGCGTAAGCAATCTGATCTTTGGCTTGGTCTCTCTCTTTCTTCATCTTTTCCAAGTCTACTTCAAGAGCTTGTTTGTCTTGCTTCAGTCTTTTGATGTCTTCCAATAAACTGTTTTTTTCTTTCTTGATATTCAAAGAAATACAAAAGCAAATTATTTTCAATCACTATAAAATGTGGTATGATCTCTCCTTCATTCAATATATCATAATACTGTTGCTAAATAGTCTTCCTAAATTTTAGCAGTGATGTTATTATTAAGATGCCCCCCCAGAATCACTAATAGCTCCCCATAGCCTAGGAGAATCAGTTCTAATCATCTTACTCAGCACAGCATTAAAGACCTTCCAGTTTACTTTTCCAACTTTTTCTGCTATATGTTAGTCAAATTGAATGATTCACTAATTCTATTGCCTGTATTCCTGCAATAACCTACTAATTGAAACCAAAAACCAAACCAAACCAAACCTATTGCCACCGAGCCAGTTCTGACCAATAGAGACCATATAGAACAGAGTAGAACTGCCCCATAGGGTTTCCATGGAGTGGCTGGTGGATTTGAACTGCCGACCTTCTGGTTAGCAGCCGAACTCTTAACCACTGTGCCATAATTAACTTCCACCCTGACTGCCTACAGTCTATTCTCCTCACACTAGACAGAGGAGTTGTTTTAGAATCAGTTAATATCACTCTTCTGTTTGAAATTGTGACAGCCCCCATTTCTCTAAAAATAAAACCTAAAGTCCTTTTCTTCAGTGTCTATAGAACCTGGCCCTTGTCCACCCCTCTGATCCCATCTACTATAAATCTTCTTCTTTCTCTCTCCATCCTAGCTACAGAGACCTCGTTGCTGTTCTTTGAACATGTTAAGTACACCGCTACCTCAAGGTGTTTGCATTTTCTGTCTTTTCTGCCTGCAGTGCTCTGCCCCATAGAGCCACGTGACTCTCTCCTTCACTTCATCAGGAAGCCCAGGAAGGCATTCCCCGACCACGGTACCCCTCAACCCCATCCGGGCCCCCAGTCACATTGCTTTGTTTTCTTCTCACAGCACTCTTCACCACCTGACATGTTATATATTTACCTGAAAGCAGGGAATTTATTTTGTTAATCCTTGTATCAAAATATGCATAAAAATGTTTGGCACATAAAAATATGTTAAATAAACAAATTCTCAATACACCCTGCATTCCATACTATTCTCAAAACCTTGAAGCACTGTGCCCTCCTTCCTCTGCTTGACAAAGTCATACTTATCCTTCAAAGCTTAGTTCAAATGAGGTTATTCCTGATAGTCCCTTCCTCGGTGTACCCACAAACTTCCACTGTACCTCTAGTATAGCATTTACTACTTTGTTTTTTATGACATTGATTTGTTTACATGCCTGTTCTCTTTATTAGGCTGAAAGCTCTACGGGGACATAGACTGTGGTTTATCTGTTTACTTTATGGCATTCAGCACACGACAGGTACTCAATAAACGTACGTTGAACTGAACTCCTAACTGCTGAAGAAACTCTTAGACTCACGGCAGTACACTTGGTATACAAAAAAAAAAAAAAAATACAAAAAAACAAATCGGTGCTGTCAAGTCGATTCTGACTCATAGTGACCCTATAGGACAGAGCAGAACTGCACCATAGAGTTTCCAAGGAGCGGTTGGTGGATTTGAACTGCCGACCTTTTGGTTAGCAAACTCTTAACCACTGCACCACCAGGGCACTTGGTATAGTTAGTTTCAAAATAAAAGAAATTCTTACACATTCAGCCTACCATCTTACAATTTAAAATTCAGTCTTAAATAGAAAATAATTTCATTCATAAAGCATTATGTAATCTGTTTCTAGTTGCATCACAGATCTAACTGCACTATTTCATTGTTTAATCCTCTGTGTGATCTTCTGTAGATCTCTTTTCAGGAGAGCACCAAGTTTATGTTTTGAATGCTCAGATATCTTTCTGCAAATACCTCTTGTTTAATTAGGCCAATCAATTTAAGAATGCTCCCTAGCAATGGCTATTGCATGGCATTGTAGACTTTGAGAACGAAAGCAACTTTAAATATCCTGAGTTCAATCATTCAAGGAATGCTTAAATGGATGTCCACTCTATGCCTGTGTATCTCCAGGGACAGACTTCACACAACCAAGAAAGCTAGTATACCTCATATCAATCCTGTGGGCCTTAGGGTTTTTGGTTAGCAAGTATTTCCCTCTCCTTGTAAGTTACTGTGCAGACACTCAGAGAGGGTCTCTGCCTGCCTCTCTGACCTTACCTTCTACCACTCTCATCCTTATTCACTCACTGTTGCCTCAAAGCACTCTGATCCTGGAAGGTAACAGGCCCATTTCCACCTCAGGACTTTAGCATTTGCTCTTCCCACTGGCTGGAAGGCTAGATCTTTGCATGGCTGGCTTCTTCTCTTCAGCTCTCAACTCAAGTTACCACTTTCTCAGAGAGAGTTTCCCTGACCACACTATCCAGTGCTGCCTATACCCCTCACCATTATTCTCTTTTAAAATTTTTCTTCAAATCACTTACTACTATCTGTAAATATTCAATTTGTTTACTTATTGTCTGTCTTTCCCACCAGAATACACATTTTTAGTTAACAAGGTCCATGTCTGTCTTATTTACTGATCCTTTGTACAGCCTGGATGACTGCCTGCTACATGGTACGTACTTGATAAAGGTTGACTGACCGTTGTAGTAAGCCCCTTTTCTCCTCTCCACCCTGATACTAAAAGGAAAGGCTTAGGACCTTAGCTTTCATTGTTTCCATTCATACTTTATAAAGAGCCATGTAATATTTTAAGAATATACTAATTGGTATTCATTAATTAATTAGGTACAAATTGGATGATATATAAATCTACTTGATATGAATATTATTATATTACAGATTTATTCCAGCATGGCTAATTTTGCTCTGAAACTACTTAAACTCAAAATACCAAAGTGAATGAAAATATAGCTACAGTCCATTTTTCAGTCTTTACACAAATATACATATCTCCAAATAATTTTATTATTATCTTAAACTAACACTTTTCTTTTTCATGATTTAAGATTTTCCCTGTTTGGTAGTTTCACCATGATGAAACTAGTATTTTTATTTATTTATCCTGCTAAGGACCACTATGCTTCCTGAATCTGAGAATTTATCTCTTTGATCATTTCTAGAAAGTTCTCAGTCATTATCTTTTTAAATACTTAAATACATACTAAAACCAAACCAAACCAAACCTGTTGCTGTCGAGTCAATTCTGACTCATGGCGACCCTATAGGACAGAGTAGAACTGCCTCATGGAGTTTCCAAGGAGCAGCTGGTGGATTAAAGTGGCTGTAGCTCTTAACCACTGTGCCACCAGGGCTCCAAATACATATTACAGCACCTCATATTTCTTAGTATTTTTGATATTTCCCATTTCTCTGTTTTTCTGTTTCACACCAGGTAAAGTTCCTTAGATCTATCTTCCAGTTAACTGACTTTTTTTCTTATTTGTGTATGATCATATGTTTAATCAGAAGGACATCATGCTTGGTAAAGTAGAGGAGGAGATGGATTGACACAGTGGCTGCAACAATGGGCTCAAACGTAGCAACGATTGTGTGAGGATGGTGCAGGACCAGGCAGTATTTTGTTCTGCTGTATATAGGGTCGCTATAAGTTGGAAATGACTTGATGGCACCTAACAACATCTGTTTAATTATTCTACTGAATTTTTAATTTGCAGAATATTTCCTTTCAAGGGCACCATCTCTTTCTCTGAATTTGTCTTGTCTGTTTTTGATAGTTCATTTTTTTCTCATATTTTCTCTCATTTATTTTATATCTTTAACCATTTTAAGCCCCTTTATTCAGTAATTCTCTATTCAGTAATTCTATTGGGGCTCTAATCCTGTTTGTTATATCTTCTGATGCCTGCATGGTAGATTGCTTCTTGGGGTTTTATAACTTTGCATTGTGAGCACTTGGTCAGTAGGATCTTATCTGCAGGAATACTCTGTGGGCTGGGTTAAGGGTATAAACCCTGCAGGTTGTCCTGCATTTGTTTCTTCTAGTCATGGCAGAAGTTATCCTTGACTCAGGACCATTGTTTGTTATTTATTCAGTTTGAACATGACCAGCCCTTACAGGTTGTGTCAATTCAAATCCTAAAACACAAAAGCAGAAGAGGTGCCATTTATACTGAACAACCAGAAAATCATAGCATCAAGCAGAGGAGACTTTTTCTATTCAGAGACCAACTTAAGGCAGACAAGCTTTCTCAACATTTCAGTCCCTTATGAAGGTGGTTGGATTTGTTTCTAGTCTACTGCTTTACTGAAGGATGTGGTCCTTTGAAGTCCTGGTGTTCTATCTTCACTTCGCTGTCAAAGCCCATGTCCCTTCATTACTGAACTGGGAGCCTGAGGAACAGACACTTACCACTAGGTTTTCATTCCCTCCACATTTTTGTCCCCAGAGACTTCCCCTATTTTCTTGAGAGCTTCGTTATGCATTTACAAAATGTTTATTATATTTTACCCAGTATTTTTAGAAGTTTTAAATGTGAATTTTCAAATTTCCTATTTGCCAGAAATATATGTCCAAAACAGCACTTTTAAAAGGTCACTAACAACAAGCTTCAAAGGAAGCTAACAAAAGCCTTCAAAAACTTTAGCTGTATTAATTTTTGTTTTAACTTGTTAATTTTTGAGACTCATTGATATTGGGGCCCAGGCTTTCCTTTTTCCTTCCTTCTCTCCCTTCTTTCTATCTACCTATCTGCCTACCTACCTAATCATTCCATGCATACATACAAAGCATACACACACATTTATAGAAAGTTCCCTAATAGATTCATATGTGAAACTGCATTTTGCATACTACAAAATCTTGTTATACATTAGTTGTTAAAATATGGTATATCACTATGAGTCAGAATCGACTCAACGGCACACAACAACAACAAATTTATGTAACCTAACTTTATACAGCAGCCCTGGTGGCGTAGTGGTTAAGAGCTGGCCTGCTAACCAAAAGGTCCGCAGTTCAAATCCACCAGCTGATCCTTGGAAACCCTATACGGCAGTTCTACTCTGACCTATAGGGTCACTATGAGTTGGAACTGACTCGATGGCACCTAACAACGACAACTTTATATAATAAATTTATTATTAAAAAGTGACATGCAATTGGAATTTTTCTAATTTACATAATTATTCAAATAGATTAGAAGGGCTTTTTACTTTTATGCTACAGTTTTTAAAGACAGGGGAGTGGAGAGAAGTAACTGCCCTCCCACAGGGCATATTTGGAAATGTGGCAGAGTACAATGATTGGTGAGTGCTGTAAGCACCTAGTCTCTGAGGACAGCAATGATAAATAAAAATCATGCTTAAGACAGAATTAACCTGCCACAAATTCCAAAAATTCCCAGGCTAATAAATATTGCTTTAGAAAATTCTAGGCCAAATTCTTTATAATTCAATATAAAAGTTTCAAAAGTTAGAAGCAGCCATTATACTACACCTTTGTGTCAGGTAGTTGGGATACACATACTTGTAAGACATAATCTCTCTCTGCCCTTCAGAAGTGCACAGGCCACTTAGGAAGACAGGTATAAATCCAACTAACTTTTTTAAGGTGAATAATCACCTCCAATTTTTTTCCTATTGTAGTTCAACACTTCCTAATGAAGAATTTGCTTGAAATAAGTATACATGCCCTAAATGAGGTTATGTCTCCTACACAGCTCCAGTAAGACATTCCTGATGACATGTTGGATTATAAAGAGGATGCCATCTAAAACCAGCATTACATAGTTTCCTCTATATTAAGGTCACACATACTGTAACTATATTAATTAATATACTATATTAAAGTCATATGTATATATATACTAAATTCTAATCTTAGATATTTCATCTTAATTTTTAAATGGCATGAAATTACAAAAACAGATTTTTCACATACATGGGGATTTTATAATAACCTTTACTATCCTTAATAGTTAAAATCCTTATTCAGCTTACCTGTGCCATCCGGAGTTCTGCTAACAGTTCTGTAAAACTCTGGTTTCTGGTGGGCTCTGAATCTTCAACTACTCGAGACAGGAAGTGACTTTTATGCATTTGTTCTCTGATTTATTTTGAAAACAAAAGATGTTTTAACAAGACACTCCTTTTAATACAAAATATTCATTTCTTAAAAATTAAAAACTCTAATGGACATTGAAACTATGTGAGTTATTGAAGATAAAAATTTTATTTAATCTATAGATTAAAATACTGAAAGAGAAGTACACTTTAACTGAAACGTATATGTTTAAACTAAAAGACTAGAAAGCCTAAGAAAAATAATGTGTTGGTTTATTTGTAATATAAAAATATTTCCTTCCAATTCTCAGAGAAAAAAAATAATGTCCTAAAAGATGTCCTGTGGTGTTGTATACCCATTGTCACGTCATCCTAGACCCTTACCCTTGTTTTTTCTTTGCAATCTTACACATGGAAGCTAACAAACTAAAAACAAACATGGTTTACTACTTGGACAGTGTTGTTGTTAGGTGCTGTTGAGTTGATTTCAACTCATAGTGACCCCATGTGACAGAGTAGAACTGCCCCATAGGGTTTTCTAGGCTGTAATCTTCATGGGAGCAGATCACCAGGTCTTTCTCTTGTGGAGGTGCTGGGTGAGTTCAAACTACCAACCTTTTGGTTAGCAGCTGAGAGCTAAATCACTGTACCACACCAGGGCTCTTTTTTGTTGTTGTTGTTGTTTTGCCACAGAGACAGTATATAAGGAGTTTAGGAGCCCATATAAGATCATCAAACCCTAATGTACTAAAGAAACCATTTCTTTCACTGTTAAAAGTTCATTTAGAGACTGAGTTTTGGATCCTAGTATAGATATCCTCTTTTAACAGCCAGGAAGTATAAGATATTTGAAAATATTTCACTGAAGTATCTGGAAAGAAAGCAGATGTAAATGCTTTCATGTATCAGGAATGTGCAGATTATCACACTCAGCCTGGGGCAGCACTAGCTGGAGAAAGGAGCTTTTTCTTTTCCTAATTTCCACAAAGGTGTCCTCTGCTATACCTACTGGCTGTGTCTGCCAGATGGTGTGCCTTTTTCTATTTTGCATGAAAGATCAGTATGGGCTAGTGGCAGCCCTGCTTCTTAGCTCCTAGATAATCTAACAAAAAAATGGAAGAATTATGTGAATGAGTATGATGACATTCACAGTCAAAGAAGCTTGTCCTGACACCATTCCTATTAGTGATTAGGTGTTTATGTGGAATGATGCACATTTAGTTATTTTCTAAAAGAAGATAGTACCCTAGCTTGTCCGTGTTTGTGAGCTCTGCTTTTTCACTTCACTTAAAATGTTAAAGTTGTAACTATTAACATCCAAAACACCTTTGAGATACGAGCCATGATTCCTAAGTAGGTGCTGGTGTCCCATTCTTCTGCTGCAGCAAGAGATGTCTGATAACAACTTACAGGTTATCATTTCTCTGGAGAAATGCCCTCAGCCAAATAGGAGCCCTTGCCTCCTAGCTCAGGAAGATATCCTCCACCCTCTTCACGGGGCACATCTCAGCCAGGACTGACTGGCTTAGTGTACAAAAAGTTGCCCTTGCCTCAAGTGGTGTCCAACCCTTTAGTGCAACCTGTTCTCCAGCGCTTCCTTGTAGGAGCAGAAAGAAGCCAGTCTCTAGTTGAGATGACATTCTTGCCTACCTCTTCCCTTGCCCTATCCTGCTTCTCTTGCTCCCCTGCTTCTGAGAGTAGACTTCTAGCGAATCTCTTTAACAAGGATCCCTGCCTCAGCTTCTGACCTAAGACAGTAAGTGATATTATATAATACTCTTTTTAACTAATGTTAATCACCTTGCTTCTTAGGAAATGGTTAAGTATCCCAGGCTTAATGTCCAATCAAGAGGAATACTGTATATTCAGTTTTCTGAAAGTGATGACAAACTTAAATATGAACATGCTAAAAATATTAAAGTATGTATTAGTCACTTAATACCAAAAAAAATCATTGAATATTAAAAATACAAGCTGTAAAACTGTGTATCAGTGTACAAATGTTTTTAATTCTAAATAAAAGAAAATGTATCATTATTCATATAACAATAAAATGCTTAGAATTATTCTAAATATATTTGATTTTAAGAATTTGAAAAGGACTCACTTTAAGGAAGCTAACTCGCTCAACAAACTCTGGTTTTCCTTAAACATTCGCTCCTCATTTTTCTTGTTTTGTTCTTGGAGTGCTTTTACTTGATTATACAATCTTTCATTTTCCTTTTTAAAAACAGAATATTATATTTTGGTTAAAAGCCAGTAGTATTTACCTATTATAATATCACAACAGGTAAGTCCTTTAAACATTTTAAAGATCTTTTAAATGTCTTCAGTATTTAAGCAAAGAAAATCTTTTCAAACACATTATATTATCTCAAGAGAAAATTTGGTGTGTAAAAATGATACTTTCCAAAATGCTCAAAATGCTTGTCTGCAAAAATAAGTTGTAAAAATTCCCAAAGCAAGATCTTAATGCAGTATCATGCATTGGATTTCACAGGAGTAAATGGGCAACTGGCTGCAGGAATAACCACATCCTGATTGCGCAGACCAGGGTGGAAAGGCTCAGTGAGACCATTTATACCCTCTTTTTTGTGTTTGGCTTGAGAGAGCAAAATTATGGCTGGAAGGATCATTCTATAAGCCTGGCTTCCAGCAGTGAGGTAACTAGATTTAGCTGCAATGAATGTTCATGCCTGTTTCTGAAACCTACCTTAAGCAGGGAGTTAAAGGCCGGGCGTTTCTATTAGTTAAGGCAGAGAGAAACTAGACCCAGTTTACTGTGAGGCTTGGGCTAAAGACGACTCAAACAGTTGAGATCAGAGAGAGAAGGTATCTCTTTAATGATTCCTAACAATATTTTGTCTTTATGTTAATATGTAAAAATGAAGTGGTGGTTGTTTAAATAGCGTTAATGGTTATTCTAAAAGAGGCTTTATATTTTAATAGAAAGAGAATAACTGACTGGATCATGTGCTAATTGCTCTGGCTTATTAACCTCTTTAAAACTAAGAATCTGATGAAACCAAGGACCTTTGAGGATCTAACGAAAACTATGGCTATCTGACCCATCTCTGGCATAGTGCCTGGCACAAAGTCTGTGCTTAAATATCTGTAGAATTAATGAACCTCAGAAAAATATTTATATACATAAATTTTGTATTTCCTTTGTGGGAGGGGGTGGTTGGCACACTTATGGGTCTGTGGAATCTTCCTTTTAAAAACACTTGCTCTACATGGCCAGATCAGAATGGCAGGCCAAGGGTTTGAAAGCTTTCATGAACTCTAGGGCAGTGTATCCTGCAAGGACTGCAGTACTACTTCATTTATAGCAAATGTCACAGTCATTGATGTGGCAATGCTTTCCCTGGATGTCACTGGGTGACAGTACTTGTCACTAACAGGCTCAATGCTTAGGCTAGGCTATGGTTGTCAAAAGAAAAAGCTGTTATGAGAGAGAAGGAGAAGGGGAGGGAGGTAAGAAATGAGCGTTGGGGGGGAACTAAGATGAAGTCTCAAGCTGGAGACCACTAAACCTGTTCTGGCTGTCCATCAGGTCAGCATCACCGAGATTCCGTCACCTGTCACACATCACAAAAGTCTGCCTTCTGTAGGACACACAGATTTTCTCACACTTAATTAAATTTGTTTTCACTGCCAGGGTACAAGCAACTGATTTCAGATTCATATTCCTGAATATAATATTAAAACTAGCTATTATTATCTATTAAAAAGCATTTAAAAAAACTAGGACAGTTTCTAAGGAACATGGCTATTAAAAATAATAACAGGCAATATTCACTGATAGTTACTATGTGCCAGGCACTTGTTAAGAGGTTGGTTTGCCCTGTCTTATTTTAATTTCACAACCACCTTAAAAGGGAGGTGTTATTATTGATATTCACATTTCACAGGTAAGGAAACTGTCTTAGAGAGGTGAACTCATATGCCTAAGGCAGAACAGCAGGTGAGGGAGCCCAGATTCAAAACCAGATACTTTGATTCCAGAATCCATGCTCTTAACAACTTTAATTCTGCCTATGGGAAATGTGTAAACTAGTTAAATTATTACTTCTTTTTATTTGCCAGAATTCTCATTTACCATAAAACAAACACAGAAATATTTTAATATGACTCATTTTTACAACTAAAGGATCTCACAAACAAGCTCACAATGTAGTGAAGAATTAACACACCTGTTGATATCCTTGAAGAAGTGTCTCTTGTTCCTGTATTTCTTTTTGGATTTGCTTCAATTTTTCTTCGGTGACAGGATCAGTTATTTCTCCAAAATGTAACCATCTTTGTTTTTTGTTCGCTTCTTCAAAGCTATTTAGCTTTGAGAAAATGCAGAAATTGTTTTATTTGGGGAAGGAAAGGAAGAAGTGAGAAGTGAGGAAGAACAGAAAACTCAGGATGTTGTCTCATAATATTTACCACACTGGAATTTCATGTAACACCAATTACAGTCAATCAGTATAGTGATGTTTTGTGCTGATGGTTTGTTTATGGAAGTAACTCAGAAGTACTACACAGTGTCATTCTCTGAGTCTAGACCCTCTATAACAGTTCTTTCCAAAATTTTGTTTTCTTTGAAGGTCACACTGAACTAAGAGATTGGTTTTAAAAAGGACTGCTAACAGAAGAAAACCATGAAAATGGGCCAATTTAAATTCAGATTTTTTCCTCTTGGGGTTCATTTCAGGCTCTCCTCCAAGGTGGCAGTCTCAGAATCATGTCTGTATTTTATACAGCAAATATGTCAAGTTAAACAACTCCAGGAACAGAAGGATGACAATGAATTTAGCAGGGAATACAGATTCTTTTTCAGTCAATGAAAGAAAAAATAGACCAACACGTGTAGTACCTTTGCTTGAAGAATATAATTGTCTTGATTTAGTCTGAAGAGTTCTTTTTCCTGTTGTCTCTTCAGTTCTTCCATCTTCTTTTCCAGCTCTCTTTCTTTATCTGAGAATGTGACTTTAATTTGCTCAATTAGGGCTTGTGCACCCCTCCATTTTTCCTCTGCTTCCTGAACTCTTTTAAACATAAATAATTCTGTCTCCTTGTTCCCACCAGGGTATCCTAAAGAATCCTTTTAAGGAAAGGCATTATCTCATTATGGCAGATTTACATGTAACACTAAAACACAGGTCATTAGGAAAAAAAAACACAAATAAAAACGACACACTATTATGTAAGAAAAGCAATAAATGTTAAATAAGAGTGACTAGAATATCGCTCTTGAGGGAAATTTCATCTATTTCATTATTTATAATTTCATTTAAATATGATTTTAGAAGATAAAAGCATTACAAATATTAATTTGAAATTCAATACCTACATTCTGAAACTGAACACAGGAATCAATTTGTGTAGGATCTTCAGACTTCTTAGGAGTAGCCAGGCAACTTTCAGTTTTGGGAGCTGGTGTACCCAAAGCTGCAGGCTTAATGACTTTTGTTCCAGATAAGATTTCTAAATATCGTAAACAATAGATAAAAGCACCATAAATGCAAACAAAGTTGAATGTATATTCAGCAATTAAGTAACAGTAAGTATGAATACAATGGGAACACTAGGATAAAATGAAGATCTCAAAACAAAGCACAGCTGTTCCACTGTTTCACTGTGATAATTGACAGTGCACTCAGAATTGCCACCCATGATCAACATTCTATTCAATTTGACACAGATACCTAATTGACCCAAGACTCATGCCAAATGACATGGAACTAAACAAATGTGAAGAGAATGTGAACTGCGATAACCTCAGGCTTTATTAACTTAAATAAATTATTCTTTCAAATGTTCACAGTAATAATAAATAAGCATTTCTAAATGATCATTCAAAAGTAGCTGATAACCTTCTGAAGCATTTTAGTTCAGATTCAATATGCTTTCAAAGCATAACTGTTATAAACAATGTATATTAAGATATAACGTCAATAGAATAATACAAATTGCAGGGAGTTTTGATAATAGCTAATGTAAATTGGATTTTAAAATATTAAATCATAACACTGCTATAATACTCTGGTAATGTATATTAAACCAGAAAAAATGTGATTAATGTATGTTCTGGCCCAGTTTTCAGCTTTTAAGGTACTTTGTAAATGCCCAAAACAGTAGAGATAATTCTAAGGCTAATATATTATTCAGTTAATAATAAAGAATGTTTAAGGGAAATACTTAGATGAGACTTTAAGGCCCATATGCAAATATTACAGGTCCTGAGTAGAATACTCAATAAGCATTATTTGATTGCCTCAGCCTTAGAGGTAAATGAAGAACCTCAAAATTTACTTTTTTAACCTAATTTCTTCAAAATGAGAATTTTTAAACTGCAAAGTTTATTTTTTCCATTAAAAATGTAATACTTAGGAAATATAGTAAAGTCAAAAGAAGGAACAAGTCACCAAGAGTCCTTCACCCAAAGATTTCTTTTCATTCTTTTTTCCAGGCATAGGCATGGAGACATTTTCCTTACAGAGTTGTAATCATATTTAATTGGTCTATTTGATATCAATAAATTTTCCAGATGAATTTCTTAAAACATTCCAGATAAATTTCTTAAAACATACATAACAAATTGTTCGAGTCATTGTAAAGGAAGGCATTAACCCTTCCAAATTACTGGAGGTTTATTAATGTGGCCAATGAATGGGGTGTGATCTATTAACGTTGTGATTCTCCTAAGGACCTGACAGCTGAGTGGCAGGTTGTTCCCAATCATAGCAGTCTGCCAGTCCTTTCATACAAGAATGTCCCCTTCCTGAATTCTTAATTTTGATTTCTCAGTGGGCTAAAGTATTTCTTAAGTAATCATTTTTCAGTAATGGTACATGGGCAGTATCAAAATTTAATGAAAAGAATATATGATTACCCTTCTTCCTAGCTCGATCTGAGGTGGGAATGGATCTCAAGTTTTTGCTCTTCATAACGTCCTTTGAAGTTTTCTTTTCAAGAGTAGAAAACGTCTTGGATGGTGAATTGGGTTTGCCATAGCCTGAGCTCCTAACTGATGCATATAATCCACTCTGGGGTTTTCTTTTAAGTAAAGGAGGTGCACTTCTAGCCTTCTTATAAAGTACCTCTTTACCGATTACAGCCCCTTCTTCTCCAAAACTGAGCTGAGATCTCAAAGTCTGTACACAACAAGGAGAAACTCATTAGTATTTAAATGAACTTCAATTATAGTTGTAAATGAAGATGTAACAGTTGGCAAAACTGTAGTGACATTAAATAATGCAGTTTGTAGAAGGCAACCCCTACAGTAAAGTTCTTTAAGTCTAATTCACTGGAATTTTAGTATTCTGAAGCACATTTTCAAAGTCAGCATTAAAACAAAATAACAAAACAAAATAAGCTTCCCAGATGTATAATTACTAGAATAAGCATGGAGAAATACATTTGAAAATGACTTATAATATTATCTTTTTCCTTCCAGACTTCTCCAGATGTTTTAAAAAATTAATACCCTGCATTATTCCACAAAGAAAACTGGAGATGACTTACGATAAACATATAATTCAAAACTGTAAAATACAAACAGAATATTGTGATTATTGAAACTATAAAGCAGAATAGATCAAGATTAGAGGAAAAAGAAACAGTGAAATATAAGTTTCTTCATAGTTGCTAACAGTATTCATACAAAATGCCATTTACTCTTGCAGACTAATGGAAAGATAGAACAATAGCACTACAATGATGAGGAAACTTTATTTTCTTGTACTATCAAATTCTGGTCTATGGTTACTAAAGAAAAGCTTCTAAAAGAAAGCTAATGCTACAGTGGTATTCTTGAATTTGGGGACGTGAGGGTGTCATAGTACACATCGCTTGTAAGTATCCAGGATCTTCTGTGGGGGTTAGTATGTAATCAATCCCATTAGCTTAAGAGGAACACACTTATCAATAATACTTATATACTTAAATATAACTTAGTTTCTTGATATATCAAATCAATTTAGATTATAAATACTTACTTTATTAATTTTGTCATCCTGAGGTAATAATGAAGGATCAACAGATAGTTTTTTCCTCAAAATATCAAGGTACATTTTATCTATGTGTTCCTCCGTAGCAGTTACTCTTGGACAGCTATTTTCTATACCTTCATTTGCTGTCTTTTGTAAAACCACATTCTCATCACTTTTGTCAAAAAATTGGTTCACATGATGTGGTTCTTGAAACATAAGATTTGAGTTTGTCTTAAGTAAAGGACTAACAAATTCAGTTTCTTTATTATCCGCCAGTACTTTAGAACTACAAAACAAAGTAGGACACAGAGAATGAGCCCTGTATAATGTGACCCCTCAAACAGCAGTCTTTTTAACATATTTCTACAACTATTCAAATTAAGTTATTAATGTTAAGTACATTATTTACAATTCTGCTTAACAAAGTATACTCGCATAGTATCATAGAATTGTTTTTAATTTCAAATAATTTGAATACAGTACAGTACAATATAAAGAATTACATGATGACTCTCAGGTCTACTTTAAAGAAAAACCTGTTGCTGTCGTGATCCTATAGGACAGGGTAGAACTGCCCCATAGAGTTTCCAAGGTGCGCCTGGTGGATTCCAACTGCCGAACTTTTGGTTAGCAGCCATTGCTCTTAACCTCTATGCCACCAGGGTTTCCACTTTAAAGAAAAGGGAAACCAAACAAACTGAGAGTGCTTTTGTACAAGAAAAAAAAAAAAAGACTTAAATTAACTTTTTGTAATATATCTTTCATCCACAGTTTCTTATGAAGTCAACATGAATTTGAGACAGGGAAAATGTTTTACGTTATTTCTAAAAGAAACTAAAGAAGCAATAATAATTTATGCCAATGAAACAAAGAGTATAAAAATTAAAAAGTACAAAATCATTAGGATTTTGAAATAAAATAATTCCCAAGGTTAAAAATATTTTAACTGCAATGTAACATTTCAGACAACTAGATGTTAAAAATATGGAAAATATCCCAAAGAAACATTCCTTTCCTTATTGACTGATTTCCTTATTGACTGAAACCATGTGTTGATGACAGCAGAGGGCTGAGTCCCTAAATGACTGTGTGGAGCAGCGCCCTACTTCTGCCGACCCACATGGGACAGTGATGTGAACAAGAAATACATTTTTGACGGTGTTAAGCTATTAATATTTCAAGGATTATCTGTAACAGAGACTAGGATTACTTATTTGACAGTTTACAAAAGGTTTTTTAGACATGTGTACTAAAGCTCATACAACTGATATTTCTATAATTATTGTTATGTATTTAATATCAATATACTTGTTTTCAGCTTTTAAACACAAACCCATTTTAGAATTCACATTACTAAAATGGTTCCACTTACGCCAACAAAGACCCAAGATGTTTAAGAAAATTTCTTTAGAAACATGAACATAGTCCCAAACAACAATGATGAGGAAGCTCAATCTGCGCTTTAAAAGTACAAAATAGCAGCACTACAACTCAGGGGAGAAACACTAGGTTTAGCATTCAAGTGGATGGATTTTGGTGTAAGCTTCACTTCATCACTTCCTCTTAACTGGCAATATGTAGAAACAAGGCCATGAAATCACTACAAGTGGATTTACAGGGTGAGGATGTCCTATAAGAAGGGGCTCAAAACATGTCTGTTGACAAGATAAATGAACAAGTGAATATACGAATGAGTGATAAGCTATTTTACAGAAATATTTCATGTAGATCAAGGATTTGAAAATATGAATGGTTAAGCGCATAGATCGCCTGTGTTCCTTAAGCAATTTATTTAATGCCTTTAAGCCTCAGTTTTGTTATCCATGAAATGGGGATCATAACAAAATATACTTCATGGAGTTGCTATAGGTTAAATGAGATAATGTATTTAAAGAACTTCCAGTTTTGGGCCCACAGTAAGCATGTGATAGAAGGTCAGCTGTTATTATCACCATCATCATCTAGTTCTCATGAGAGCTCCACTACTCAAGTGGGTTTACCTCAGTTTCATCACCTGGGGATGGGGATAAGACACCTGTCCTACTTGTTATGAGAAACATGTGAAACACTGGATGTGCCATGTAAGTGCTATACAAATGCAAAGTGTTCTTATGACACAATATTGTGATGTGTAACTCTGTGTTGGAGGATGACAGCAGTGTCCCACATGCTTCTAACAAAGTGTAGTGGAGCTACAGCATTTTCACACAGCCTATTTCTTTTGTGACCAAAGAACTCAACCTGTGAGATGACGGATGGTCTAAGACAAAGCACAAAACGAGCTGGTTTATAAAGAAAAAGAATCTACAACTCATATACAGAATAAAATTCATGTTCTCTCACATCAACTGAATCAACTGTCTCAGAGCTATTTAAAGATGAAGAGATAGTATTTTTCAGTGAAAAGCTTTAAGGCTACTTAATGGCAGAAACTTTTTTAGTACTATGTATTTATTTTCCTTATAGCAAAAAAAGAATTTTGATAAATTGAGTAAGGACTAATATAGATAGAAGAAAGTAATGACTCATAGGTAGATTCATATAAGCGAATACCAGTTGACCTTGAGTCAATTTCGACTCATGATGACCCCAACTATGTCTGAGTAGAACTCTGCTCCATAAGGTGTTCAATGGCTGATTTTTCAGAAGTAGATCACCAGGCTTTCTTCTGAGGCATGGACTGGAATCCCTAACCTTTTGGTTATAGCTGAGCATATTAACTGTTTGCACCATTCAGGGATATAATATTACCCATTAATCATTCACTGGAAATGTTTACACAGAACAAATTATCCTAAAAGTTTTCAATGACAAAACTAGAACAAATAAAAACTCACTCAACTAAACAAACAATCTACATAATACATTCTAATAAACTCATACCTGACAGGTTGTAAATCAAAACCACTGACCCCAAAGGAATCTATTCTGATAGGTTTCATCAGCTCTTCTACAGTGGGCAGATCTAAGAGGAGAAAAAAGTGAAAGTAGCTACCAAAAATGTGTAAAGTACTTAAAATAATTAGCTCTAGGTGTGTCTAGTTAACATAGTTAACAAAGCTGCATATGCAATAAACCCCACTTCCCATTGTAAACTTACTTGTACTAGGCAAACTTCCTTTAATATTCTATTTGATAAATATATATACCAAATATATGTGTGTGTTTATACCTCTTTAAAGTGTTAAAAAGCAAAGATGCCACTTTGAGGACTAAGGTGTGCCTGACCCAAACCACGGTATTTTCAATTGCCTCATATATATGTGAAAACTGGACAAGGAAAAAAGACCAAAGAACTGATGCCTTTGAATTACTGTGTTGGCTAAGAATATTGAATATACCATGGACTGCCAGAAGAACAAACAAATCTGTCTTCGAACAAGTACAGACGGAATGCTCCTTAGAAGCCAGGATGGTGAGACTTTGTCTCACATATTTTGGACATGTTATGAGAAGGGACCATCCCTGAAGGACATCATGCTTGGTAAAGTAGAGTGTCAGCGAAAAAGAGGATGATCCTCAATGAGATGGACTGACACAGTGGCTGCAACAACAGGCTCAAACATAGCAATGATTGTGGGGATGGCGCAGGACTGGGCGGTGTTTCCTTCTGTTGTACACAGGGTCACTATGAGTCAGAACCAACTCAACAGTACCTAACAACAACATACATACATAATATAGCTATATATGTAAACATACGTGTGTGTGCATATGCATATATATATATTTTGTTAAGTATGTATTTAGTTGACCCCAAAATACTGTTCTCTATTTAAAAAAGCACTGTAATACTGTATTTTTTTTGCAAATAATGTGCCCATACATATAATGTGTGGCATAGCACGCTTATGAAAATATCGCAGGGGGGTTGCATGGTTGGCAAAAAATGTGTAATGTGAACATTATTTGCATAAACATGGCATATATGTATACATATACATGAAAAAGAGTAAAAAAATGTGGAAACACTTAAGCAATTTTTAATTTGATCAAGGCCCATTGAAGGAGGAGCTGAAATTTTATCCTATGTCTGGCTCTAACTCTATAGTGAAATCTGTGATTCCTGGATATCATTTTGAACAAACCGTTTAAATAAGTTCAGAGACTGAGAAACAATCACCACAGTAAATTGTATTTAAATTACACTACACTGAAAACTGTTCAGAGAGGGTCTCAAATAATGGAAAAATAATATATAAATTTATTAGTAAGTTTTTACCAGATTCAGTCGTAGAATTGTTTTTTGAGGACTCGTCATCATTGTCTTGAGGATGATCTTTCACTGAGTTCTTGGTATTTTCTATTGCATTACTCTCAAATCTTTGTTCATCTGTATCGCCCAAAGAATGGGCTACATGATGATAAGCCTGATGTAGGGCTTCAATGTCACTATTGCTTTGTCCATGAGAGATACCTGTTGAAATCAATGTAATCTCTAGGTACATGAGAAGTACATGAGAAATATATAACGCTAATATCACCCCTACAGGACCCTGGTGGTGGAGTGGTTAAGAGCTTGGCTGCTAACCAAAAGGTTGGCAGTTTGAATCCACCAGCTGCTCCTTGGAAACCCTATGGGCAGTTCTACTCTGCCCCATAGGGCCGCTATGAGTCAGAATCAACTAGATGGCAATGGGTTTGGTTTGGTTTTGGTTTAATATTACCCCTTGGTCTGTTAGGAATGGTGAACAAGGCTGCAAGACAATGTTGTTGTGTGCTGTCAGGTCCATTTCGACTCATAGTGACTATAAAGGACGGAGTAGAACTGCCCCATAGGGTTTCCTAGGCTGTAATCTTTATGGCAACAGATTGCCAGGTCTTTTCTCCCATGGAGCCACTGGTGGATTTGAACTTCCAACCTTTTGGTTAGCAGCTGAGCACTTAACTATTATGCTACCAGGGCTCCTTGTAGAACAACAGTGACATTATTATAAAGGTAGAGTTATGCACAAGCTCAGGTAATATGTAGCTATAACGAACTAGTATGAAATTGTAGCAGTCTCAATAATTCGTTTCAGCAAGTACAGATGATATAGTCTGTATCCTGATGTGGTAGATAATAAAAAATTGACTCCATTAGTTATTGCCCTCTTTTCCTACTATCCTTAACCAACCTCTGTGCATTGGATAAAACTATTCTTAAATTTTCCCAAACTGATATATTCCTTTCAAAGATTCTACTTCTCCCTTAACACTGCTACTCTCTCTCTGCTTCCGAGTGCTGCCAAACATCTTACAATTTGCCCTTCCTCAACTGCAATTCACTCCTCTGACTTTGCAATCCAATACATGTTCCAACATCCTGATGAATAAAAACAATTTCCTAATGGTCAAATCCAACAGTTTCTTTAGTTCTCATGCTACTTCAACCCTATGAGACACTTGTCACTGTGGACCACGTTTTCCTGGGAATGGTTTCTTCCACAACGCTTTCTCCTTGTTCTTCCTATCACTCTTACGGTAAATGGTTCATTTCAGCACTCCATCTTTAGTCCTCTTTTTATCACCTCCCACTTCATGTTTTTTAGTCTGGTTGATTTCATCAATATCCTTAGCTTTAACTATTGCCTGTTATGCTGGTGACTTCCATACCTATGCCTTTTGTCCTTATCTCTTTTCTATCAAACTCTAACAAACATTTACATTGTCCTTTAAGTAAACCACATCTAACACATCCCCAACTGAATCCATTATATTCCCCAATAAACCTGTCCTAATACCAGTATTTCCTATTTCAGCTAATGGCATCACTATTCACCCAGTCACTCAAGATAGAAACCTTGACATCATTATTCACTCTTCTTTTTCTATTAGCTCTCTGTCTCCACCAACTGATAAATAATTTCTGGAAAAAAGAATTTGAAGAATCTCATGACAATCATCATTTAAGATCTTTTTAAAGTATTTTCTTACTCAGTTTGTAATTTTCATTAATTATAATGAATTTTTCAAAATTGGAGGAAAGAATAAGTTATAGAAGAGGAATGGAAAAAATAACAGAAATAAGATGACTGGTCTTCTCTTGGTACCCATGATTAATCAATTACTATAAAGAATAAAATGGTACATACAGCTTCATCTTCCTCAGCCTTTATAAACTGTATGTTGTATACTATACAACTCTGAGGGGCTGTTTTATTCTGTAAACATAAGAGGTGACTGACAGCCACTTACAAGATTATGTAAAAATGCCTTACAATGAGATGTCTTTCTATCTAATGTTTCAGGTCACCACCGATATGTGGAGCATTTCCTAATAAACTAAAGTTTTGCTTAAATTAAAAACAAAAATGTAGGGGGATACTGTTAGAGTAAAACTGCCAACAGTTAAGGGGCAAGGCTTTTGCACGAGAACATGAGGATAAAGGTCTTGCCTGTTGAGATGAGCCTAACTTTCCCCTTAAACCATCCGCCAGCAGCATGACTGGAGGTGAAAATTAGTTTTCATGAAAAAAGGAAAGGCACAAGGTGGTTTTTCTCCTCTACTGAAAGATCAGGATGATTAAGTATCTGCTGAGTGTATATAAAATAAATAACCCCAATGGCAAATAGCATAGTAGTTCTGAAGGCACACCTAATTTTTAAACAGGTGTGAGGTGTCAAAAGAAAAAGGCTCCAGGGTTTAGAGCAACAGCAGAGCAAACATGCAGAAAAATAAATGTCCTAAAAATTAAAAATTAGAAATAGAGGATAAAGAGGTATTAGGGCTGCTCAGAAAAAAGAGCTGGAGAAAGGTACTTTTCTCCTAACTGGAGTCATTAACCCAGGTGATACTAAGAATACTTCCAGAGTCATTAAGTTAACTAGTTTCATACTTTCTATGAAGAGGAAAAGAAAAGACTTATCCACCTTTTAGGTTAAAAAGAGGCGCCCTAAGTAGTTATTTTATGTATTGCTACATGCTAAAAGCCCCTTCTATTTTTCAACTTTAGAAAGTTGAAAAGTATCAAATGCTATTTTGCAGAGCAAAGGGCCAGGTTTCATGGAGCAATACTGTCATCCTATGACTACTCCAGCCATGCAGCCACAGCACAATGGTGTTTGTCTGTTAGACAGGTGAAAAGTAAGTGAAAAGCTTGCCTGTGAGACAGGTGAAACTCTGGCCTGGCATTGAGAAAGCCTTGGTTTTACAGTTATCAGTCTCTTCCCAAGTAGCCTCTAACTACTGAATTAAAGAACCACAATTTAATACAATAAAGCATTAAGAATTTCATAAATGATAATTAACGAAGACGATCTTTGACAATACATCCCCTAAATTTAGGAAGAAACCTGGTAAAAAAACAAAAACAAAAACAAAAATACAGTACAGGTAGTCTCCGACTTATGATGGGGTTCTGTTCCGACGACTCTGTCTTAAGTCTGTTCTGACATAAGTTGAATATCTCATTGTTTTTTTTTTTTAGTTTTCATTATAATTGCCTTTTATTATCAGTATCTTTATAAATCTGCTCTTTATTTTTCTTTGGAGGTTGGAAACATTACATATAAACTTACAGATATATTTTAATACATACACATGTAAAAAAAAATTCACAAATCATAAAAATTCACTCTGACAATGAAGAAGAGTTGGATGACGTTGGCATTTTGTCAGTTGTGGTAATAACTCCACTTGTGGAAGGCACTGGATCATCTGGATTATTGCTTGGAATGGGGGTGGTGCTTCTAGTTAGAAAATTAGTGAGAACTGTCTGTATGGTCTTTTTCATTTTTTCTTCATATATTTCGCAGTAACCTCTTGCTGCTTCCTGAATCTGCCTATCGACTTTAGCAAAGTGATCAGCATTTGGATCTATGTTTTCAAGCAACTGATGCCCCTGATTTAGTTTAGAAAAAACTTCAGCTAATCCTTTCACTGTAAAATTTTTTGGCTTCTCTCCTTCCTCTTCCTCATTATTTCTTTATTCTGCAGCATTTCTTTCCTCTTCAAAATCCATTAATTCTTGATCTGTCAATTCCCCTTCTTTGTGACCTATGAGCTATTCCACATTGGGAACATCAAGTTCTAAATTCAGAGTTCTTGCCACGTGGATGATTTTCCCACTGATCTCTTCCATCATATTATTCTGATCAAATCCTTAAAGCAAGTTCACATAACTCAGCAATTTTTCCCATATCCCCTGCATGCATTTTCCTGTAACTTCCTTCCAGGAAGATGCAATGCTCTAGATACATCGAAGACTATTATAATTCTTTCAGAAACTGCATGTTACTGTATCTCCATCTGTTGCAGCTATTGCCTGAGCAATCATGGTCCGTAGGTAGTATGCCTTGAAAGTGGCGATTGCACCCTGATCCATACGCTGAATCGCAGCTGCCGTATTGGGAGTTAGATACACCATGTGCACATCTTGATTTTGATCACCT